AAATCAATCAACTCAAATAACTGTAAGAAGATCCACAAACGTTTTTCTCAGAAAACAAATAAAGGTTAATAAGTGTTAAATTATAAAATGAATGAAAAAATATTAGTTTTTTATACGTTTCAATTTTAAAATTTTATAAAAAAAAAAAAATATTTATGCTTACAACTATAAATTTTATTTATGATTTGAATATAGAAAAACTTACATTAAAAATTTCTCAATTTTTTTTATAATTATTAAATTGTTTATAGCTCCCAATATTTTAGGGACGTCCATGTGTAGAAACGTGATAACAATTTTGGAAGGAAAATTGATGACAAATGCTTAAACAATCTATTCAAAATAAAATGAACTCAAATGGTTCTAATTCATGCAATAAAAATTACGCCATCAATTATATTGTGCTCCTTTGTCACAAAGTGAATAAAATAAAATGATTCATTTCTTTTGAAAAATATTATAGATGGTTTACATCCAGTAATTCTACATGATTTAGAAGAATCACGTTGAATACATCACTAGAGTTATCTTATGCGATCCATGTTTGACAGCGTTCTTTGCAGTATTATGCGTATTTGAAATTATATATACTATTTCAGTTGAGTCCGCTTCTAGTTAGAATCTTTAAAGGGTTCTACTGGTTTGGTAGATTGACCTAGTCTATTGCTCTTTCTTTGTGCCTATTTCACTAAATGAAAACATTAAACTGAAAACTCATATAAAGTGAGCAAACTCTTTTTATACCAATACCAATAGAAATGTGCGAAAACGTTTCATGCATAAAAATGAACTTGATAGCACGGCTTTGGCCATGTGAATCCCTAGAAACATGTGAAGGGTATAGCTAACCCAATTTCTAATCCAATAAAAAACTCTTTATTTATGATTTTTTTCACCACTGTTTTTAAATTTTTCTTAATTAATATGTATAGTTTAGTATTCTCTAGAATCAAATTCTAGACTTTCTGATGTAAAATTATTAATATTTTTTTTAGTCAAACCACTAAATCAAGTGGAATTTTATAAAAACAAAACAAGTCTAATCAATAATTATGGTATAACTGGTTTAATAAGGTAAAAGGTCTAATCAATAATTATGGCATAACTGGTTTAATAAGCGTATGCCACACATAATTTCACCGGTTAATAAAATGATCATAAGAATCAAATAATTTTGAGTCATATTTGTTCATTACATACGATTTGTATAGTTAGTGGGGCTGAATTATTAATGAAAATTCTTAAATTAGTGTAATTTTCAATGAAAAACTGTATAATATTTCACACAAAATCAAAATTATTGCTAGTGTACTTTACATGTAATAGACTAAATGATTAAAAATGTTCATAGATAAAAAGATTTAAGTTAAATAAGAAACCTTTATGTTGCAATAAAATAACTTTGTATATAGTCTTACTTGTGAAATGAGCATTTCCTCTCTACTCTCTCATTTCTTATCTGTCAAAATTGATTTTATAAATTAATTTTCTATGTGATGTATTGGAAATTACGGTAATGCAAATATTTTGTTTAATTAGAATATCTGAGAAGCTAAACCTTTTTATTTTGTTGAGAATATTCTAGCCATAACAAGAGTTTAAAGAAGAAACAATCTCTTTATTAATAATCAACAATAGTTTGTCATTTACAAAGCCAATAGGATGATTATTTATATAGAAGTCGAACCCTAATAGGCTAATACTAAAAGAATAGACACTGACTAATAATTATCAATTATTAAATTATAACTAACTAGATGTTTTGTCAGCACTTGTCGACTTAATAATTTTATAAAAATTGTAAAAAATATACTATCAATTTAAAAACCATTAGAATAACTCTTTTCATGATTTCGAGATATTTCTTAATTATTTAAATATTGACTTATTATATACGATAAAAGAATTATTTTAATAAAATATCTTTTAATAAGTAAAATAAACTTCAAAACATGTATAATATACATAAAATATATACATGTATTTATATTTTAAAAACAGAGTATGATGTAAAACATTTTTAGATAACATAATATATAATCTTTTTAGAAAACGATGATTATCAAATTAATGAAATTTGTTTATTATTTATGGGTAGTTATATATTAATGAATCTAATCTAATGATTTATTAAACATAATAAAGATTTTAAACTTTTAACTTGAGAGCGAAAAACTCACTTCGCAAATAATATTATAATACTTTTGAATTTCTTACTATTTTTTTTCCAGAAATTATCACAATGAGTGATTTGATTGTCTTATGAAGTTTATATTAAAAGATAGATGATTTATTTTATCTTATGTGATATTGAAATAGAGTCAGTTTAATATTACTAAACCAAGTATAATAGAAACATATATATAATAGTTTAATATTACTAAAGTGAATATAATATATTTAACTATGATCTTACCGTTAAAATATTTGAAAATTTCTTTAGAAAATAGATATTTCATTCGATCTTATGTGATATATATATATATATATATATTAAATAATAGGCTTAATATTACTAAAGTAAACATAATATAAGCATATATACAATATTTAATATTACTAAATTAAATATAATATAAATTTAACTATAACATATATATATATATATATATATATATATTTAATATTTAAATTTTCCTAAAGTCAATATACTATAAATTTATTTATGATATTACCGTTAGAATTTTTTTAATTATTCTCAAGATAATATAAATTATCAGCTAGATCATAATGAACTCCTAGGATGCTTCTTTGGATTGATATGGATAGATCCTTGCATAAACGAATCAAAGACTCGAGTTTATCAAGGCTGTGGATCGATTGGTGACACAAGGGGTTGCGGAAAGACTCCTTGATACTCCTAGATGACTAACTTGGATATTACACACCGAGACACCCTCAGGTTTGTTGGAAATCACACACCAACAAGATCACTCAAGAACTCATAAACAAGTAGAAGAAAGAACTAGAGAGAACTAGGTTTAGTCGAAAAGATTGCTTAACATTAGAAAGAGCCTACGACAAGTTTAAATAGAGAAGTACTTGAACATGCTCAAGTGTCTCGAAAATATTAAAGGGAATTCGCTCCCTTGGTAAACTAATAAGACCAAAGACTTATTCAAATTTTAAAAGAGTTTTTGAAACATAAAAACATGAAATAAAAACCATAGTCTAAAGTTATCATAAGGTAGATGTAGTCGGACAAAAATGCATGTATAAAATGAATGTCTAGGATACATCATCTAGGAGATGTGAAAATAAACTTGTGGTCTCGTTAAAAACCTGCATTTGGAAAACCCAGTGGGACAAAACCAAAGTTTAGGAAAAAGAGCACACACAAGCCACTTGCCTAGATGATTATCAGCTTGAAGATGAGGTAGCTTGAATGGTGATGAGTGTGTCTTGATTGATCAAGCTTCGACCAAGAATGTCTTCTTGCTTCCAGGATGTCTTAAGTATACTTCCAACAGCTTTATTGAGTCTTCTTGTTCTTGCACGGGTCATGGGACCTTTAGGAATGGCTAAGGCATCATCTTCTTCAATTGGTTTATCCTTGAGCTCTCCATCTCCATCTTCTAGCTGGTCCATGATCATATCAGATCACTAAAATTATTTATTAAAATTAATAATTAATTATAAAATATGACTAAATCTAAAATATGGAAACATGACAAATCAACAAAATTATCTGTCAAATAATAGTATAGATAGATAGATATTATAATTATTTTAAAATAAAATAACTAAACAAAAATAATTAAATTATTTGAAATAATTTTGAAATATTCTCTATGTATCACTCTTTGGATTGGAGAAAATTTACCCTTGAATCAGTCCTTGATGCATCTACCATAAAAATTGCCCACTTACTATTTCGAACATCAAAATTTACTGCAAGCTTGAAAATATTCATAAAGTGTTTATTTTTTCTTAAACACCCATAAAGTGTTTTCTTACATTGACAGATTTGGTTTAAGACAAAAGTTGACTTTGTCGAAGGAAGGGACAAGTCACACCACACTTCAATGGCATTTTGCTGATAAGGAGACACAGTGATTTTGTCAACGCATAAGAACACGTAGCGAGCGTTCAAAGATATGTCAAAAGTATAGTTTTGTCATCTTCTGCACACGCGGCGTCATTAAGCAATTCTACCTCATCAAAGATAGAAACGATTGGATCCATATCATAAAAGATCGGATCTACACCATCATAGATGTCAAAGATCGGAGGACAATAATTCTCATTGTAGAGATTGTTTTTTTTTCCTTGATTTTGGTCTCATCCCGTTCCAAGGGTTGGTGCTTAAATTTTTCAAAAACTCGAAAACATTATTTACTAATATGTAATCACCACTCGATCTTTCTTCGTGCTTTGATCTCATTCGCACGATATCGCGAACCCATCTTTCTTCGTTTGGGATGGAGCAGATCACGGATATTGCAAATTTTCTGGATATTTTAACTTTCGGATCACAAACAAATACCTGAAGGACAGTTTTGAAGAGAGGTTTATTAGAAATTTAGAAGCTTGTTGACGGCCAATATCGTGGCACCACCTAAAACACACAAGACAAGCGTTAAGAATGTAATGAAAATACTTTCCTTTTTAACAAAAGTGAAAGATATGTGCACGCGCGTTGATATACTATAAACTTTCTGCTACAATCTTACATGTTGATCAAGACGATATCCGAGATAACAAGAGCGTAAAGAGCACTTTGTTTCTCGAATGCAGTATCATCCTGGTTAGAAAAAAGCAGGACACGGTTTCAACAAGCTGAATCAATGTCGCAACACTAAACCAGAAGTAGTAATGAGACAAAGAATAACCTCTCCCCTCGCTCCCTTCCATCTTTGCCCTCTAAGTCCATCACAAGTGTGCAAGGCTTAGATCTTCCTCTTCAAAAGCTTCACTTTCTCTGTTTTTGAATGTTAGTCATGTTAGGTTCGAAATCAATAATGGAAGTTAGGAACTAAACATAAAAAGCCAATCTTGAAAAAGAATTTGTATTAAATAATCAAATCAAAGAATAATAATTCTTCTATACACCATCAAACCCACTCCAAAAATAGAATAAAACATTCCTAGTTCTAACCCACATCTTACTAAGTTTAGCCATATACTAAACTTAATGATACATGAAAAACCGACTTAAGACACTTTAATCCCCTAACCAGATCTAACACCTAGGCAACCTAACCATCTCACGGCAAGATTAGTTCCCTTACACAAAACAGAGTCAATAGCTCTCTCTCTCACTCTGAACCCTAACTGTCTAAACAACTCACGAACTTTCCGAAACCTCAGAAGCTCCACTTCATAAACAAGCTTTATCCCTGCAGAGACAAGAAGCTGCTTGTCTTGTGTAGTGATGATAACTATACTCCCCGGACCAAAACAGTTGAAATCCTCTGCAAGTGCATCTAACTGCTCAAGCTTATTAACTTCGTTAGCCACAAGAAGAACCTTCTTGTTAGATTCTACTTGAACCCCTTTCAGAAGCTCTCGGCGTAGATGCAGATCCTGAGATATCCTCTTGGCGTTATCAAGGAAACAATGGCTTTCAAAGTGTTGACAGATGTTCTGATACACGAATTTAGCAAGAGCTGATCTACCGTTACCTCCTCTTGCCCAAATCCCGACAACTCTCACACTCTTCTTCGAGTTTAGGTCTAGTAAACGTGACAGAGCTTTCATGTGCGCATCAATCCCCACTAAGTTACTTCCATTGCTTGTTGTTGTCGTCTTCATTGTATCAATGAGAATTGATATTCTCTCAGTAATCTCATCGACCATCATTGAGTCATCTTCCCTGAAGACAAAATCAAATAAAGATCCAACCATTAAACCTAAAAACCTAATTTTTTTTTCTTTTTGTTTAAATTGGGTATCCCAGGACCTATGGAGAGGCCGAGACTAATCCCCAAAGGGTGGTGCAGCACACGGATGAATTCTCACTCCGGGTATTCAAATGGGCCTAAGATAGGCCCATATCCACGTGCCCACAAGGTAAGATGTAGTGGGGTGCCTTCAAACCTGGATTGCTTAGCAAATCCCAAAGCTCACCTACCACACTAGACCACCACCTTGGGGTTAAACCTAACTTGATCATCAAGTAAACACGTTTTTTTCTTACCATTTCAATGTGCAAACGCCGGAGATACTCGCGAGATTAGTCAACGCTTGTCTCCACGAGAGGACTTTCTCGTGATCTTCTCTCATCTCGTGCTTCTCGAACTGTTTAGCGACTTCACCGATCTGTCTCCTCACGTGACACGGGTCAACGCCGTAGAAGACGGGGATCACGGTGAGGAAGCCTTTATTCTCGAAATCCATGATCTTGACGAGTTCTTGAAGGCACCAAGTGGAGGCTGCGTAGTTCGAGGAGATCACGACGACGGCGAACTTGGATTCTCCGATGGCGCGTTCAAGCTCCGGCGAGATCCTCCGGCCGCTTTCGAGCTCCTTGTCGTCTTTGAAGGTGCGGATGTTTCTTCGGAGGAGTTCTTTGTAGAGGAAACTGATGAAGCTGCGGCGAGTGTCGAGTCCTCTGAAGCTCAAGAAGACATCGAACTTGGAGATGGAGGTAGTTGCTGTAGTAGAAGAAGAAGACATGTGGTTGATTCTGTCATGAGAGTAAAAGAGAATCAATCAGCCCCCTTTTATAGATAGGCGCGTGTTTGTGTGATCACATGGAGAGGGAGTCTCGAGAGAAACTCGCTCTCACTCGCCAAGTACATTTCCTCGCATTTTCCTTTTTGTTTTTGGTAAAATGCTAACTTTTTGTTGTCAACTTTGATTCTGTCAATTTATTTCTGACTGTGTTTACAATTGTAAATTTGCGAAATGTCAAAAGATAAAATCTTTCTTTTATAAATCGATTATAAGGAATGTTTTTATAATATTTTTACTAGGTGTGTTATCCGCACATACGGGTATAATTTTCGTACAATTTATTATTCGTATATATTTTATTAATTCAACCAATATAATAAGTTATGATTTATGTTTTAAAATTAATTATAAATGACAACACTCACATAACAAAATATCTTTAAAATATATTTTTACAAATGTATTGCTTTAATTTATTTTAATTATAATTTTTTCTATCTTAATTTTTTTTTATAATAAAAATATATTTTCAAGATAACAATATAATACATAAGATGTATCTTATTTTCTCAAAATATAATTTTTAATAGAATTCGTTTTTATTTTATAATAAATTTTATATGAAATTATTAAAAATGTGGCAAATAATCAAAATTATCTAAATCATGCAGAAATTACAAATCAGATAATTCATTTAAATTTTCTAACAGAAAAATATATTCAAGATAAAAATCTAATACATAAGAATTATCTTATTTTTTTAAAATCTAGTATTATTAGTATACATTCGTTTTATTATTTAATAAATTATATATGAATTTATTAAAATATGATAAATAAGCAAAATATAAAACCATGGAAAAATTGATAAATCAGCATTGCTTTCTTTATATTTAACTATTAATATTTTAACTTAATTTTAATTTCTATGAGAAAAAATATATTTTAAAGATAACAATATAATACATAAGAATTATCTTATTTTTTAAAAGTAGAATTTTATTAATAGAAATTCGTTTTATTATATGATAAATTATTCATAAAATTATTAAAACTATAAAAAATAAGAAAAATTACAAAAACTATGGAGAAGTTACAAATCAATCAGTAAAATTGACTTGAATTTTATAATAGAAAAATATATTTATTAGATAACAATTTAATACAAATAATTAACATATTTTCTAAAATATAATATTATTAATATAAATTCGTTTTTGTTAAATAATAAATGTATATGAAATTATTTAAAGTAAATAAACAAATTTATCTAAAATCATGGAGAAGTTGACAACTAAGCAAATTTACTTCTTATATAATAGTATAGATTATACAACGTTCTTAATCTCCGTGAAAAATGTCCTTTGACACTTATATCAAAATGGAAAGAATATATTTTACTAGAATTTCACTTCAAACAGTTATACTTACATTATTTTACTAGAGTTTCACTGTTCTATCTATACTATGTCAAAAAAAAAAATTATTTTTTTCTTCTATTAATCTGTATAATTATTAATAAACTGCTTATGAAATTTAAAATTTATATTTTTGTATGAAAATATTAATGAATCATTAGTTTTACCATCAGACTACTTAATTTTCACAAATAGTAGAGAAATTGGATATCCTTTGTGGAAGATCGTACATCTATTAAATTAATCACGCGTTAAACCAAGTTTTCGTTTGATTAGGCAATAAACAGGGCGTTTGGGTGTCTTATGCGCTTAGGCAACCGATATTAGCAGTGATTCATACAGTGCTACAGTCTACAATACTTGCGTTTTCTATTCTTTTTGTCTTCTTCAATGCACATGGTGCGACTTTGTACCGAATGGGAAATATTGATGAAATAATCATATTATCGAACATTACTAAGAAAGTAATATATAGAGAAACGAAGGTGTGCAGAAGTTACCAAAATATAATTTAATAACCAACATTTCTTGTTTCACATAAAGAGACAATACATAAGAGAATGGAGTGGTATGTATATCAAGTTATAAGCAAATAGCACGTTGTTTATTTTGTAACTATGATTAATTCCTTTTCGTTTCCAAGAAGATGATGAGGAAATCAGAAATTTAATCGGAATGGGCATATTAAAGGCATTGTGACGTATAACTACTAGCACATTCACACCTATCCAGACTGAGATAAAACCATAACCACAGAACTAAACAGAAATTCTATTTTCTCGGTTTCCTTTGAAAGAATTGTGATCAAATTTGGACAGAATTAACTTTTTCCCTTTTGTGTTGGTTCAGTTTACTTGGATTACTCCAGTTTCACTAATATTTATTCAGCCACGTAGATTTTATTAAGATGAAAATTCAATATTTTAGAATGATGTTTCTTTTTTTGAGAGAAGTCCTTCAAAATATTGAAAAAGATAATTGTATTTCTCAATTTAAAAAATAGGAAATTCTATAATAAAGATTAGTTTGTTTTCCAATGCATTATTCTTTTATTTCTCTAAGAAGAAGATTCTTGATATATTATTTTTAGTTTTACAACTAATGCATTTCTTTGTGAAAGTTGAAAATTAACCCAATTTCTTTAACACTAAGATTCTATTTGAACTATAAATTTCTTTTAAAAACTATTATGTAAATAAAATTACAATTCAATTTATATAAAATATTGTATTTAACTAAAAATATTTATTTTAGTTATAATTATTAAAGTAAAAAGTAATGTTTTATAAATAAAAACATGTCTCTATTATAGTATTTTCTATTTAGAAGAAAAAAATAAATGGGTTGAAATGATTTTTTCTCTATTATAACATTTAGAGTAAAAAAATAGTTATCAGTTCAAAATGCTCTTATGTATAGATTAATTGGTTTAGGCGTTAGACTTTTAGAACTTTTGTTACCATCAAATATATTATCAGCTGGAGGTTTTTGAAGAGTTTCTTGTGATTTGGAATAATTAATAAATAGTAAATTAAAGTTTTTAATTGAAATATTTAGAGCTTTTTTATATTGGTTGATTTTTGAAATATTTAGAGATACTCATCCAAATCTCTTTCAGAAATTCAAATGGGTTCTTGTTTGGTGCTGGTGCTCACATAGATCATTCACATCAAATTTTCAAAATGGGCATCTAAAATACTAAATCTATTATTCATAAAATATACAACGTTTTGACAAATTTGAATATCTTACATGAACACATTAAGGTGTCTAGAAATAGCTAAAATTTCTTAATAAAGACAATTTTGTTATTTCTCTATACTTTTTCCACATTAAGGTGTCTAGAAATAGCTAAAATTTCTTAATAAAGACAAGTAGTTGCATACCTTGAAACTGCTCTTGGGTTTTCTCCGGTTTATTTTTTTGGTAATCCACTTCATTCATATTTATTCATTTTGTGGGGTTCATCCATCTTCATTCAATCTTTCTAGTAAGTAGCTTACACAATCTTCGATTTAATCTTCTTAGGTTTACAATAGCTTTACTATTATTAAGACAGTCATTTTAAGAACAAACAAACAAATAAATTCAATATTCATGAATCTAAACAATAGTATAAACAACAACAACAAAAACAAATTATTTGACCTGAATCTACTCTTTGTATATACAAAGGCTTTTATCTTTTTCTTTTTAATAACTGACGACTATATATTAATGCATTCAGTCTTTCCCTAAGCTGACCTCTGTCACATGACAAAGCCACCAAACATTTCAAAAAGAAATTAATAATACCAAGAAAGTTCAAGTGTCGATGTGTAGACTGCTCCAAACCAACAGGATCCTCTCTCTGTTTGAATGCTTCTGACCTAAAGAGCTGACGAACATCGTAGCATCTCAAGAGCTCAACTTCATAGACACTCTTCACACACCATGAACAAAGCAGTTGCCTATCTTGTGTGGTTATAACGACTCTGCTCCCTGGACCAAACCAGTTGAACTCTTCAGCAAGCGCACCTAACTGTTCGATTTTGTCCACATCGTTAGCCACAAGCAGAACCTTCTTGTTCCTTAGCCTTGCTTTAATCGCCTTAAGACACCTCTGAGAGCTCTTTGTGCTCAACCCTTCTCCTTGCATCTTGGAAAGAAGCTCTTCTTGGAGATGAGATTTGCGGTGATGTTGTGAGATCTTTCTCACGTCTTCGAGGAAACAATGAGCTTCAAAGTTATGTGAGATTTTCTCGTAAACTTGTCTTGCGAGTGCTGATCTTCCCATGCTTCCTCTTCCCCATATCCCAATGACCCGAACATCTTCATCTGAGGTTAGATCCAACCTTGGATACAGTTCGTTCATGTGTTTGTCTATATCAACTAAGTCATTACCATTTCTTGGTCTAACGGCGAACAACATCTTTGATATTCTCTGCGTGATATCATCCACCAGCTTCGAGTCATCTTCCCTGAAAAAAACGAGTAAAAACAAAGCAAAGCCAATCAAAACAGAGAAAAACAGGGCAAAACAGAGAAAAACAGAACAAAACAGAGCAAAACAGGGCAAAACAGGGCAAAACAGAGCAAAAACAGAGTCAAAACAGAGTAATCAAGAAGAAGAGACAGATCTTACCAGTTCTTTGAACATTCACCAGAGAGATCAGCCAAATAAGTCAACGCCTCCCTCCACGTTTTGACCTTCTCTATGCTTTGTCTCTTCTCGTGTTTCTTGAAATGTTTCGCCACCGCTTCTATCTGTCTCCTCACGTGAGAAGGTTCAACCTCGTAGAAGATAGGAACCACTTTGATCAAACCCTTCTTCTCGAGTTTCAAGATCTTCACAAGCTCTTCAAGACACCATTCGGAAGCTGAGTAAGTCTTGGAGACAACCACGACGGCGATTTCTGACTCTTTGATGGCTTGGAGAAGCTCCGGTGAAATAGGACGGCCTCTCACCAGCTCCTTGTCGTCTTTGAAAGTTCGAATCTCTTTCGCCACTAAGTCTCTGTAGAGAAAACTGACGAAGTTCTTGCGAGTGTCGTCGCCCCTGAAGCTTAGAAAGACGTCGTATTTCTGAGGAGTGAATGAGGAAGAAGACAGTGATGAGTTTGATTCGAGTAGTCGTAGTGATTTAACTTTTGTCTTAAAGCACAATAGTTTTTTCAGGATTCCTTTCATCTTTAATTATTTTTCTGTTTATGGACGTTTTTTGAGTTTGCGAAGCTAGACAAAAGGAGTTACAACGTATTTATAGTTTTTTTTTTCTTTTGCCAAATAGATAGTTTTCTTTTTAACTGCTATTTATAGTTTTTATAGGGGAAGAGACACACTTAGGTAATGCTTAATGGTAGTGAAATTACCATTAAATTTCCAAGAAACATGTTATAAAGTACAAACCATTGTATATAATTTTTTTTAATTAGGTTAGAAATTGGATTGATAAGAATATCTCCATTTTGTTCTCTAAATACACCCCCATTTTTATGTGAAGCGTTCAAGGACAATGAGCTGAAATGTAGATGATTATAATAAATAATTTCTCTATATCTTTGATAAATTTGTGTTAATATTGCAATAAAATGTAAAGCTCTTTTTTTTAACTACCAAATGTAAAGATCATTTTTTTTAGTACGACTTATAGGAAATCAGTACATTATTGTATCTTCATTATTTTTTTTGCTGTCAACCTTACTATTAAACATTAAGAAATGTTACATATTGTTTTTGCAACTTACAATATACTTACGTATTGTAGTTTTCTTTCTATTTTAATTTTTCATCATAATTTTGGCCCAGCCAACCCCTTAGCTAAGAAGTCGAGTTTATTTTTTGTGGTGTATACTGCTTTAAGCTCTTAATCTTCATATATATTGATATAATATATTTTTTTAATTAAATATATTGATATAATATTGTATTTATTATATATCAAGTAAAGATTTTTATCATAACAACGTGTGTAACTCGTGTTCATGATCTATATATTTTCTCTTTTGGGATTTTCATGTTAATAGCATTTGGCAACTTTACCAAAAATGAATAACGAATTAATTTTATTTTATTAATAATAAGAAAGAGTTACAACTATATTTGCGAGTAACATTATTGTGACTTTCCGTAACGGGGTGTATGGAATTACAATTAGGATAAACCTAAAGAGAATTATTCATTAGGTAGCCAGTTCATGTGAAAAAATAATTAATGGAAACGGAATGAAATGCCATATTCTTAAATTTTGATAAATGACAAATAAACTAGTAACATAAAGATGTAATTATTGAGAAAAACTCAAGAAATATCTCAAATTTGTACTTCAATTTTAATAGTTTATATTGTTTTGTTTGTAAGTACAAATTATTTATTTTAACGTCAAATGTAAAGATCCGTGATCGTTTTTCTGTTATGATAAGTAGGTTTGTTTAAATAATTTGACCACTTATAAGATATCAATAAATTTCATACTGAAACTATACTTTTAAATCCGTGCTTTAACATAAGCTTAGTACAGTCGCCCACCCCGTGTTTTTAGGCTAGTCTCTTAGCTAAACATTTCACGGAAACTTCTTTTTAAAGAGAATTTCATGGAAACTTAAAAACCATAAAACATACTCCCTCCATTTCATATTAAGTGTCGTTGTAGAGAATTTTTTGCGTTACAAAATAAGTGTCGTTTTCGATTTTCAATGCAAAATTTATTAATTTTATTATGTAATTTGTTTTTCTATTGGTTAAAATATGGTTAGGTGTATGGGTAACTGTGTTTTTATATAGGAAATATGTAAAATTAATTATTTTCTTAATCTGTGTGCACAGCTGTAGAGTGACACTTATAATAAAACAGAGGGAGTAGTATATTATAACTTCTAGCTGATATATTTGTTAAAATAAGTATATTCAGCCCAAAAATAAAAATAAAATAAGTGTCCATGATATGTGCCTCAGCTTCAGTGAATCATGCATGAGATCATATATGGAAAACATGGTTCTTTACACCCTGAAATGAACGTTTAAAAATTGGAAACCGAGTTATTCGAAATCGCCAAAGAATGGTACTTCTACCTTTAAAGAGACATGTTTACGTGTAAGTGAAAAATATAATAGTAATATCCTAGAGTTTTTTTTTCTTGCTTAAAAAGTCATATCCTAGAGTTGAAACATGTTAGAGCAGCGCAATGGTTAATTTAATGAATTCTTAGCCCCCAATCCTTAGTACTTTTAGAATAAAAAAATATAATCTAAGCTTGGTTTGATAAGGATTAATCCTTGAGTAAGGATTTTAAATATCAAATCTTTAGTGACGTGACAAGTTTACTTCTGCGTTTTTATGTTCTATTTTGGTCCATTTTAATTGGAATCTCTCTTTCGTCGGTGCTCCTCACCGTTTCATCCACTATTTTCCAACTTCTCAATTTCAATTTCTTATTTTTAAGTGTCAGGGATTTTTGGGTGGGATTTCCCCAAATGACAAAAAAAATATATATATATATTTTTTTTTTCTAAAGACCCCAAAATAGAATCCACCAATAAACTATATTTTTTTGTTTAAAATTCTTAATTTTTCAAAAAAGATTAATTAATAGTTAATGACTCCACAATGGAGTTGTGAATGGTCTTATTGTTCCCTTTAAAATTGTTTGTTATGTGACTTATGTCACAATCATATATTTCAAAGTAAAAGTTTAATTTCTGTGTAACGCATGCAACGTCACAGATGTTGGAGATTTGGATACTTTTATCGTACCTTTTTTTTCTAAACTTACTTTTATCATACCTTTGAAATTAATATAAGTTTTGTCTTCTAAATATATTTATATGTCGTTGAAAATTTCTAACATATTTTGTACGATAATGCGTGCAGTCACGAGTTCGTAAGTCCTAACGTAAGTAACGTATGCTACTATAGTTTGCCGAGTCACACATTCGTCGCAGAGTGCTACAGTGTTTTGTTTTACTATATAAAGAAATCAAGTAGACTTTTTTATTTTTCTTGTACGCCAGGGTAATTCTGTGTCCACAATTAATAAATAATATCAGAGCCATTCCCGCTGTTGTTTAATACGAAAGAGTCAAAGGCTAAACATTAGTGTTAATCTGAATTCTTCAGTTTGAAATGTGGATAAAGTTGTAACCTCTACCTATGTGATTTTTCTATTATATTGTTCGAAGAAAGAATTGTTCGAAGTTTTTTCACAAAAAGAAAGAAAAAAGATTCTTCCAAGTAGAGTAAAAGTCCTTTTTTTGTTTAAATAGAGTAAAACTCTTTAAATTAATATTTAAGAAATTATCTGACATAATAAATTTAAGATTTATAATTTATATAAGATATTATATTTGACAACATAGTAAGAGATAATTTGCCAGTATTATATATAAGCTATATAAATTAATAATTATTATATATAAACACAATCTAAGACAATTAGTAAAACAATCTGGTGTTGGTGCATTGTTCTAAACAAGATTTAACATCATTTTAATTTTTATTGTAAATGAAGGAAAACTTGAAAGTAAACGTTATGAAGCTTTATCTCTGAAGTTCATATATAAAGACATATATAAGGTACTCCCAAAATGAAAAGTAGTATGGAAAATATGTAAATAATAAAGCCAAATATCTAATATTGGGAATTAAGAAAATATGAATTAAATCATCATTTTATTCATGTCATATAAAGTTTAAAATTATTATTTATAAGATTAATAACTCTAAAAATAATAAAATATTATATTCTTGGGACATTGTTTATCTATAGAATTTTACTATCGTTGGTATAAATTTAGGTTTTGCAGTTCGTATGTACCATCAGATGAATTATTCGTCCCAGCCCACTAATCAGTGAAATAGGCCTAATATTTTTCTTAGCTTGGAAAAAACTTCAAATGGGCTATTCTTAATTTAGAACTTTGATTATTTAGCAACTACAGAATACTCTTTTTATGTCTATAAAATTCTATAAATGTTTGTCGCCAACTGTTAAAGATCTAAAGTCTAATTAAAGGCAAAAGAGAGCCCATGACTTGGAGAAAAGTATAAAGCTTTTGAATTTGTTTAAGCGGTTAAGGTATACTTTACAACAGTTCATGTTTTCATCTTAATCTGTTAATATAAAAATCGATATTAGTTGTTGATCAAATTAAAGGCGATCTTAGTTACTCACATAATCATCAAGACGTGACGATCACACCATTCCAACTAATCAGAAAATTAAGGAGTTCTCTAACCTTTGACATTTTATGATTAGAGAGACAATAATCTTAATCTTCTAATAATTAGTTTATTGACCTTGAGACTAAGGTCGATCCTGAAATTTTAAGGTTCTAAGATGGTTTTATAACAATTTTAACTTATTTGTAATAGATTTGAGAGGTCTACAAAATTCTTTTTAGAGACTTAAGAAGTCTTTTTTGGGACCTAAATTTTTTTTAGAAGATCATATATATATATATAACTTTTTCAAAAAAAATGGGGATTCAAAATTAATATTTCATCCAATTTGGTTGATATTTCATAGCATAAGCAGCAATTAACACTTTAATCTTCAAACCAACATGGTACCATAATGCTGTCGGTTCAAACTTTTTTTTTTCAGTAACTTAAAATGTATGCAATAATTCTTCTTATGACATCGGATAACTGAATAATTATGAGATGTGAACCCTTTTATAACATATGTTTCCATCCTTTTGACCGTAATTACAAGAAAAAACAAAACATTAATCTCTTTCAAACTCCAATGTCTTAATGCATAACTAAATATTAAAAATAATTTATTTGGGGAAGAAAATAGTGTGTCACTGTTCTTCTTCTTTATCTATCTATCATAAGCGGAAACGGATTGTTACAGTTCACAAAAAGTAATCTCTTTCCTCCGTTAGACCCGTTCTCTGTCCTTCTTCTTCTTCGTCTTCCTCTTTCTCATTTCAACAACAAAGCCACATCATCTGCGTGTCTCTCTTTTCTAATACGATGACCTCGAAGAACAACGGCTTGTCTGCCGCGCTTGTCTCGAATCTCCAAGACGTGCTTTCCAAGAGAAAAGGAGGCAGCGAGGAGGAAGAGGAGACACCGTCTACTTCTGTTGCGGCGAAGGAAGAGGTAGAGGAGAGTGATGACTCAAGACCTATTGTTTTAGTTACCAATGGAGATGGGATTGATTCGCCTGGACTCGTCTCTCTCGTTGAAGCTTTGGTTAAAGAAGGGCTCTACAATGTTCATGTCTGTGCTCCTCAAACGTGCGGTTTCTTACCTTATCTTTCTTGTTAAAAGTTTGGAACTTTTTGGTGACACGTAAGGCTTGTGAAATTGGAATGTGACAGGGATAGATCGGTTTCTTCTCATTCTGTGACTCGTGGAGAAACCATTGCTGTAACTTCCGTTAGTATCAAAGGTGCCACTGCCTTTGAAGTTTCAGGTTTGTATACATATCTATAAACTTGACAAAGGAACGTTTTTTAATCTGAAAGTTGGAGTCTTTGTTGAAACAAGAATATCCATTGATTCTCTCAAGTGTTAGTAGTTAGTACAGTTTCGGTGTTCATAGGCTTTGAGGTTTATTTGTTGTTGTCTCAGGGACTACTGTGGACTGCATCTCGTTAGGATTATCTGGAGCGCTTTTCGCTTGGTCAAAACCAATACTGGTTAGTATTTTCTTAATCATCTCACCATATATGATATTATGGTATCTTGTAATTTCTGCTTATTTTCTACAGGTTATTAGTGGAATCAATCAGGGATCAAGCTGTGGGCATCAAATGTAGGTGTTTATGTGTTTGTATATAAACTGGTTAGTCCTTGTTTTCCCATCTGCTATGTGTTTTACTGATGGGAGAATCCTCCAGGTTCTATTCCGGTGCAGTGGCTGGAGCCAGGGAAGCTTTGGTTTCTGGAGTACCCTCTTTGTCAATATCATTGAACTGGTGAGTTTTAATCATGGGTTTGCATTTGTGCTGCTATATATGTGGACGTTTTGGCCATTAACGTTTTGTCGAATCGATTATAGGAAGAAAGATGAAAGCAAAGAAAGTGACTTTAAGGATGCTGTTAGTGTCTGTTTACCTTTGATAAACGCAACTATCAGAGACATTGAGAAAGGAGTTTTCCCTAAAGACTGCTCTCTCAACGTAGAACTTCCAACATCACCCTCATCAAACAAGGTTTACTCTTTTTTCTTTTTATCGCAAAACTCGTCTCGGAAACTGATTTTGGCATGCAAAGAATATGATATATGCTGGCAATGGCTACCGTAGTCGTTGATGTTGTGAACCTGTAGTAGCCTCGTAGGTCAATGATTTAAGGAAGCTGAAGTTTCGTTTACATATGAAACAGGGTTTTAAAGTAACAAAACAAAGCATGTGGAGGCAGAGTCATAGTTGGCAAGCTGTTTCAGCTAATCGTCATCCTGGTGCTGGGAATTTCATGTCCAACCAACAAAGCCTAGGAGCTCAACTTGCCCAGCTTGGCAGAGATGCTTCAGCTGCTGTTAGTTAACTCATACCTATACTTTGTTGTATAATTATTTGTTGGTTCATAAGGTCCAAGGTTTAGTTAAGTAGATACTGAGATTAAGATATCTGGCAATATCAGGGGGCGGCTCGTCGTTTTACAACACAGAAGAAGAGTATTGTGGAGATTGAATCTGTTGGTGTTGCTGCTAAAACTGATAGCCGTGTTAAGAAATACTTCCGCCTAGAGGTAGAGAAAAATTTGAAACACCATTTCTCTTCACAAACCCCCTTTAACTATTTAGTATGTACAAATGTCTATTAGTTCCTGAGTCCTGGTTATGTTTATGTGCAGTTTGTGGCTAAAGAACAAGAACATACAGATGAAGATTTGGATATCAAGGCTATAGAAGATGGTTTTGTAAGTTGGCATGATCATATACTCTTTCGAGTATCATTTACTCACTCTCTTTTTCTTTGTCATACTTTTTTATGGTGAAGTTCCTTGATTCTAAGGTACTTACTTACTTACCCTTTTTTTGTAATGACAGGTTTCTGTGACTCCATTGACTCTTCTTCCAAAAATGGATTCAGAAACTCAAGCTGCAGTGTCAGAATGGATCTCCAAAGCCATTAACGCTGATCAATAAAAATGGTCGTACTCGTAAAATTATATTACATGGTTTGGGCAAAACTGGTAACTCGAATGTGCATTTGTTTGTTCTTGTTGTTATTTGACCTTTTTTCTATATTATTTTATGGGTTTGATTCCCCTACAAGTCTTGTTTGCAAAAGGGCTGGTCTGTTTTCTCCTCGATTCAAAATTTATACAACACTAGAGATTTTCAACCGCGCTAAATTATTCTCAGCGTTGTAGCATACAGATATCGAAAGTATCATCATAGTTTGGGAGACATCAACTGTATTGGACTTAAAAACATAGAATAAAACATTAATTAAAGGTTTGCAAAAACACAAAGCTAGTCTTGGGTAGAGAGAGGGAGAGAGAGTCTCATTCGGTTGTAAAAAACAAACAAACGTCAAAACCAGAGAACAAACAATCTACCTATAGATTGAAATTATAAACCGGAGACTGAAATCGCCTACCTTGCAAGTCAAGTCTGAAACGATCACTAGATGTACAGAACGATTAGGGTTCTTCTCGTTTCCGCTCAATATATATATATAATATGGGCCTTTTGCTTTCCAGTTATCCTTTCTTTGATCACAATTTATGTGTAGAGGTTTAGGAAACTTCTTTTTTCTTATGTTGGCTATAACCGGAAACTAGAAGCATCTTTGCGGCGTATGAGACCTATTAAAATAAGAAGAAGCCATACATTGAAAAAGGTTACGTGGCGTACAAGTCATCAGGGTAAAGAAGAGACTTTACACAAAAGCTTTCTAGTTAGGGTTAGTGCCCGTCTAGAATTAGAGAATGTGAATAATATTGAGTTATATTACTGTATTATGTATTAGGATAACTACGTTATTTAGATAATGATTCCATTATGTATTAGGAGATAAGTCTATGTTCCTAGATAAGGTTGACTTATGTTTATCATCTCCGATACTAACTCCTTGTAAGCTCTATATAAGAGCATGTATTGTCATGAATAAGATCAAGCAATTCCAATAGTTGTTATATGGTATCAGAGCTCTCCTCGATCCATTAATTAATTTTTTTTTCGTTATCTTATTCATCCACTAAACAATGTCTTCTGAAGCATCATCAACCTCGGGTACGACCACAACAGCAACACGAGCTGTGATCTATGATCCAGCCAATCCTGCAAATTCACTTCTTGCGGTCAATATGGCGAACATAACGCGTTTGACCAACACTAATTACCTCATGTGGAGCAGACAAGTCTTGGCTCTCCTTGAAGGTCATGAACTTCATGGTTTTCTTGAGAAAACCGCATCAACACCAGAAGCAGTTATCACAAACAATGGGATTCCGGAACCAAACCCGGCCTATCCACCTTGGCGCCGTCAAGACAGACTTCTATACAGTGCTATCATCGGTGCTATCTCTATTCCCGTTCAACCGCTAGTTGCTAGTGCAACCACAACACATGAAGTTTGGAGTACTCTTAACCTTGTTTTTGGAACTCCAACTCGTGGACATATAAAACAGCTAAAGTACCAGATCAAGAGCTGTGTTAAAGGAACCAAAACAATCAGTGAGTATATGCGTCTCATTAAAGCAAAATCAGATGAGTTAGCATTACTTGGTAAACCGTTGGATGCTGAAGATTTGATTGAACAAATTCTTGCGGGTCTTCCAGAAGAATACAAGTCAGAAATTGATGTGGTTAATGGAAGAGATAATCTCATCTCTTTCTCTGAACTCACAGAAAAACTCATCAATAGAGAAGCGATGCTGGTGTGTGATCAGCCGGCTACTCCAACCTTCCCTGTTACTGCTAATGTGACCACTCGTCCCAACAATAACAACAACACCAACAACAACCGTGGCAATAACAGCAATTGGAGGCCAACCTACTCAGCTCGTCCTCCAAACAACAATAACTACAACTACAACAACAACAATGGTGGTCGTGGCCCTCGGCCTTATCTTGGTCGATGCCAGGCTTGTGGTATTCAAGGTCACAGTGTTCAACGCTGCCCTTCTTTCAGAGTAGTTTCTGCTGATACTACCTCACACAACAACAACAATACTCAATGGCGTCCAATGGCACATCCTGCATACATACACTCGCAACACCCTGATGCGTGGCTCATGGATAGTGGTGCTTCACACCATGTCACCTCTGACATGAATAATTTGGCATCTCACACACAGTATGCTGGTTCTGACGGGATTGTAATTGGCAATGGAGCAAACTTGCCAATCACTCATACTGGTTCACTTTCTCTCAAAACTCCATCTAGAGATTTTACTCTCAACAATATTCTTTATGCTCCTTCTATGACAAAGAATCTTATTTCAGTGAATCGGTTTTGTAAGACTAACAAAACTTCTGTGGAATTCTTTCCTAATATGTTTCAGGTGAAGGATCTGCAAACGGGGACACCGGTACTAACCGCACCAGTTAATGGCAACATGTATGAGTGGCCTGCTGCTTCATGTGCGCCTCTTGCTTTAGCTGCTAGACACTCTTCTTCCCTAGATTGGCATCACAGACTAGGACATCCTGCTTTTCCTATTTTACAAAAGATTTCTTCTAGTTTTTCTCCTGGTTTTTCTTGTCGCAATTTATCTTCTTCTCACTGCAATGCATGTTCCATTAATAAAAGTCATAAGTTGCCTTTTCATGATACTTCTATATCTTCTTCCCGACCTTTACAAATTGTTTTCTCCGATGTTTGGTCCTCCCCAGTTCATTCTTTTGATGGTTTCAAATATTATTTAATTCTTGTTGATCATTTTACTCGCTATATATGGTTCTTTCCTCTGAAACTTAAGTCGCAGGTTGCAGCCACGTTTATCAAATTTAAGCAGCTGGTCGAAACACAATTCAACACCAAACTCACAACACTTTACAGTGACAATGGAGGAGAATTCATTGCTTTGCGAAGCTTTCTTGCTGACAATGGTATATCTCATCTTACAACACCACCACACACTCCGGAGCACAACGGCCTATCCGAACGACGTCACAGACATATTGTTGAGACCGGTTTGGCCTTACTTACTCACGCCTCCATTCCTACCTCCTACTGGACGTACGCCTTTGCTGCGGCAGTATATCTAATCAATCGTATGCCTACTCAAGTATTATCAATGGACTCTCCGTATTTGCGTCTATTTGGAGCAACACCAAACTACTCGAAGCTGCGTGTTTTCGGCTGCTTATGTTATCCGTGGCTGCGACCCTACACGACTAATAAGCTTCAACCAAGATCAACTCCTTCTATCTTTTTGGGTTATTCTCTCACTCAAAGTGCTTATCTCTGTTTTGACCCTTCCAAATCTCGCATGTTTGTTTCTAGACATGTGCATTTTGTCGAAAACCAGTTTCCTTTTGTGTCTTTAGCAGCTCCTGTTTCCTCGGAGGTTGATACACATGACACAGCGTGGATGCCCTCTGTGGTACCTACTCATCATCGTCTTGAAGCTGAGCAAACGTTAGTACCATCGTCTCCCGCTGCAGCTCCCTCACCAGCAACAACACCTGCAACTATATCATCTCCGGCTGTTCCTTCTGAGACAAGTAATCAACATCAGGCCACACAGCAACCTCAACATCCTATGGTTACTCGCTCTCAGAATCAGATAGTGAAGCCGAATCCTCGATACTGCCTGAGCACAACATTGGCTCCCTACATTGAACCAAACACGATACAACAAGCCTTGGCAGATGACAACTGGCGCAAATCTGCTTGTGCTGAGTTCAATGCAGCAATTCAAAACAACACATGGGATCTCGTACCTCCGGAAGAAGCTACTAATGTCATTGGCAATATGTGGCTATTTCGCACTAAGTTTAAACCTGATGGAACTGTTGACAAACTCAAGACGCGACTGGTGGCCAAAGGAAACAATCAACGACCTGGTATTGATTATCATGAGACTTTTAGTCCAGTGATTAAGTCTCCGACAATACGTCTTCTTCTTGGTCAAGCAGCAAGATACAATTGGCCACTAAAGCAACTGGATATCAATAATGCGTTTCTCCAAGGAACACTTAATGATGTGGTGTATATGTCACAACCCAGAGGCTTTGTGGATCGTGACAAACCAAACCATGTGTGCAAATTAAATAAAGCACTCTATGGCTTGAAGCAAGCACCACGAGCGTGGTACACTGAGCTCAAAAATCATCTTCTCAGCCTCGGATTCAAGAACTCCATTGCTGATCCATCTCTGTTCTTCTACACGGGTCAAGGAATTTATCTTTTTATCTTGATCTATGTTGATGACATTGTGATTACAGGAAACTCTGAAGCAAATATACAAAGCCTTATCAGCAATCTTTCCCGACGGTTCTCCTTGAAAGATCTTGGTGATCTTTCTTACTTTCTCGGCATTGAGGTCTTGCGTACACAACACGGCATTCATCTTTCTCAACGGAAGTACATTGGTGATCTTCTCTTTCGCCATAATATGGTCAATGCCAAGCCTGTTCCCACTCCCATGAGTGCCTCTACAAACCTGTCGATTCGGGATGGTGATGTTCTTGAAAACCCAGCTGAGTATCGTACTCTGGTTGGCAGTCTTCAGTACTTACTGTTGACACGACCAGACATTGCTTTTGCAGTCAATAAACTGTCTCAGTTTATGCATAACCCAACCAACACTCACTGGACTGCAGCCAAGCGCGTACTACGTTATCTTGCTGGCACGTACACCTCAGGCATCTTTCTCTCTCGCCACAGCAATATGTCTTTACACGCGTATTCTGATGCAGACTGGGCAGGCAACAGAGATGATTACACGTCTACTGGTGCTTATGTTGTCTTCTTAGGCCAGCATCCCATTTCGTGGTCAGCTAAGAAGCAGACGGGAGTTGCACGATCTTCTACTGAAGCTGAATATCGTGCTGTCTCGGCTGCTGCGTCTGAAATGAAGTGGCTATTCTCCTTGTTGAAAGAAGTTGGTGTTCGGCTTGACTCTGTTCCTACCATTTATTGTGACAATGTGGGTGCTACCTACTTGAGTGCTAATCCTGTGTTTCATTCAAGGATGAAACATCTTGCTCTAGACTATCATTTCATCAGGGAACAAGTTCAGAATGGTACTCTACGCGTCACGCATGTCTCGACGAAGGATCAACTGGCGGATGGACTCACTAAACCACTCACCAGATCACGGTTTGGATTACTTTTCACCAAGATTGGTATCACTCAACGTGCACCATCTTGAGGGGGGATATTAGGATAACTACGTTATTTAGATAATGATTCCATTATGTATTAGGAGATAAGTCTATGTTCCTAGATAAGGTTGACTTATGTTTATCATCTCCGATACTAACTCCTTGTAAGCTCTATATAAGAGCATGTATTGTCATGAATAAGATCAAGCAATTCCAATAGTTGTTATATTATGTATATAACTGGCATAAGAATTGTATATATATATATTAATACACAAAATTTAAACATATACCAACTATAAATAAAATTTCATAATATATACTATTAATGTATATAATATTCTTTGGCTTGAATTTCACAAGCTTGACCTTTTCTCGTCATAAAAGAAAAAGATGAAAAAAAACTTCACAAGCTTTGATCACTTCATAATTGGAATTTAACAGTAACAGTTGTGTATCTCCAATAATAGTTAGCCGATCCTCGTAGATGATTGGCCACTACAGCCTCGATAAGATCGAAACTCGTACCGACACCTATGAGAGAGAGAGAGAGGATTAAAATCACATCAATAAGTAAAAGACCTATAAAAAAAGCGTTAATTAATTAGTAAGTTTACCGGTCGACCATGTTTGTCGTTTGAAGAGAGAAGCTTTATCCGTTCATTTTGTTTCAGGCGGGGGCAATCTCTAAGATCGATGTGTTTGACCTCTGGAGAAAGTGCAACGCTCTCCAGAGAATCACAGCCGTGTGCATAGAGATGGTTGAGACTCTGTGGAAGATCTTCAACTGATTTAAGCTTCTTGCAGTTATTAAGGTAAAGAGTTGTGAGCGAGGAAAGTCTACTAATGCTTGTTGGCATTATCTCAAACTCGTGGTTGCTAACATCTAAATATGTTAAACTAGTGCAATAACATAATAGCTCATCTTCCAGTGACTGAACAAGATTCTTGCAGTTGTCAATGCAAAGCTCAAGTAAACCCCTGAGTTGTGGCAATGCGTCGAGGTTGTGACAGTTTCTAAGAGTAAGATATTCCACCTTGGTTAGTTGTGACATGGTTTTAGGTAGATGCACAAAATCATTACCGGTGAGGTCAAGTGTCCTTAAGGACAACAAACAATCAATGTCTTGAGGGATTTCTCGGATGTTTAAGTTGATCAGCTTAAGCTCGGTCAGACAAGGAAAATTTGAAAAGCTGTGACAGGTGAAAGAATCACCCATCTCCAAGTACTCTAACCTCTCAATGACAAGTGTTTTCAAAAGGTGCTCAGAAGTGAAGGAGAGACGCTGTGCTGTTCCTGTGAGAGTGTGCAACAAGGCAACATTTATTTTGCCTTGGATTGATAGATCAGTTAGAGAACTCAGTGTTGCTACTTGTTCGAGAAGAATCAGCTCAATACGTCGATGGAAGCTATTGTCCTCGGGTTCGTTGAGGTAACAAACTTCCATGCCACCCACGAGGCTATCACAACGGACTATGTTGAGTTTCCTTAGATGTAATTTATCGATGGACCCAGGGGTTTGCCTTAGACTCGTGCAGCCTTCCATTATCAACTCCTCAAGTTTCAAAGATTGTGAAAGATCTGGAAGTTCTACAAGATTCGTAGAGCCCGTCACATCTAGTCTTCGTAGGTTTGTAAATAGCTAAAAAAAATATAAAGAAAGGATTCAAATCGTTAATATGTGAGCATATTACAATCTAATCTATTAAAAGAGAAGTATATTTAGTCATTAATCCTAAGTTTTCCACAAAAATTATATCATTATGTCACTGTCTTTAAAATACAAACTTTTGATTTAAATTTGTATGAACACCATCAAAAATTCTTTTATAATAAACCAACACACGGTTTTGATTTAAACTTTCAAACCACCGATTCTCTTAATTATTAGATTATCAATAATTTTTTTATTTTTTAATTATTAAACCATATATTAAACCAGTTCTTTTCTTATTAATAAATCATCATTAGATCATTTATTCTCTTATTAATAAACTAACACTAAACTACTTAATATCCTTGGTTCCCTAAATAATGTATTTTCTAATCTATAAAACCATGCATAATATGTTGATATATTACTAAACCATCAGTACAATAATATACTCTATAATTGGACACTAAAAATTGAACAAAATACATCGATTTCAAAACTCAAAATTTATGAAACTATTAAATAAATGTTAAAACATATAATAATTTATAATTTATATCTGCGCGAATCTAAAATCTAGTATGATTTTCTTTTTGGAAGGTGGCGTACCTTGGGTTTATAGACAACGGATTTATATACACTGGGTTCATCCCAAAGGTGTCTGAGGTTACTGTAACGTCGATTGAGGTCAACAAGAAGGCTTGACTTGAAACTAAGTGGCAATGTTTCAAGTGGGTAAGCATCCCAGTGAAGTAACTTAAGTCGATGCGTAGTATCATCAGAATCATCTGACATCATGAGCTGCAGCTTGGACTCGGTGTCAACCACATGTTTTAATAAATTGAGAAATGTAAGGTTATTCATAGGCTCGAAAACACTGCTACTTATATTTAAAGTGTCAGACATGTCACACATGTGTAGTGAAACGCCTTCTATTATGTTTGTACCCTGTTTGTACAAAAAAAAACATGTCAGTGAGACCAACAAAAAAAAAACAATTATTATATTTGGCAAGAACTTACTATGTTCCTTGATAGCACATCATAGATCTCTTCCGGTTCCCACAAGAACTTTTGATTACACGGTGTCAACATAGATTCTTGACGCACAATTTCTTTTCCGGTTTGTTCTACCAAGAAATGCATGATTAAACGTCCATCATATGATATGTCCAGGAGAGACTTTGCCACTAAGCGATGTATCCTTGGACCAGATTCACCAAGAAAAACCTTGATAAGCCAGAGGAAGCCTCCGTTAAAGAGACATGCCACTTGAAGGAAAACATTCTTGTCGTATTGATCTAAACCGTCATAGCTTGCTCTCAAAATATTCTGAACTTTCTCATGAGGGGATGCTTCTAGTAGAGATAATTCATCTTCCCATCTTTTTATGGTTGTTTGTTCACTGAGATGCGAAGCAAAAGCAACGAGCGCTGAGGGTAGGCCGTGAGCAAGCCGAGAAGCTCTGATAAAGAGTTTCTCTGAACCGTGATGAAAACGAGGAGTTCTTCCTCCATAAGCTAACTTTTTAAAAACATGGAGTGCATACTTGTCGTCCAAGCAATTAACCTCATGTATATCATCTACTCCACATGAATTGAGGAGACCCCTGTCTCGAGTAGTTATGATGATTCGGCTCCCAGGACCAAACCAGCTTTTATCTTTTGCTAGTGCATGTACCTGCTCTGCATAGTCCACACCATCTATCACAAGAAAAACCTTTTTGTGCCCTAGTATATCCTTGATCTTTCTGTCACTAGCTTCCCTGCTCGGCAACTTGGTACTTCCTTCATTGCGGATATGGGAGAGCAATTCCCTTTGCAGTTGATCTGGATCACTTATCTTCCAAGCGTCTTGTATGAAACAGTGGAACGAATAGTCATGTGAGAACTGGTTATAGAGATATCTGGCGATGGTGGTTTTGCCTATACCTCCCATACCCAATATTCCCATCATTCGAACCTCACTTTTAGGCTCCTTATTAAAAAAGACTTCCATCTTCTCCAGATCAGCTTCCCTTCCAACTGGTTTGATCAGATGTAAAGGCTTCATGTATTCCAGTCTTCTTGAGATACTTGAAACTATCTCTGCGACCATGATTGCTTCGTCGACCCTGACATCAAACAAAAGCATTTGTTTCATGAACCCTAAGCCATTTACTTTTATGTGGGGATAGTACTGGTAATTGTTGTGAACAAAAAGCAAAAAATTTAGGAATAAATTGGATTGAAGCAAATATAGGTTTTAGGGTTTGTATAATTTATTATTTTGATTATGTGAATAAATAAGTTATAGTCTCTTATACTCATATTTATATAACCTCAACATCCAATATTCATTCTCCTTAAAAAAAAAAATTTCTATACATATACAAAAAAATTTATGGTTTTCTAATTCTAAAAAGCTGTATCCTACTAAACGTATGTGGTCTTTTACTAGCATACTAAGATTTATGTCATTTAAGAAATCCCCTATATATTAAAAGAGAAAAATTTGTAATTAATGTGTTCACACTATATTTTTTGAATAAGTTTAACAATTTATGTGTTTACACACTAAATTTTTTTTAAACTAAACCACATACTATTTAATGTTTTCGTATTCTATTTTTTCAATCAGCTCAATTTTAGTTTATGCATTTTTGACATTTGTAATAATAAATTGAAATTAATTAAAAAGTTTTTTTTCTACAACTACTGAATAATATCATTTTAAAAGAATAAATAAAAAAGAGAATGTTCTTGCCAAACTTAGCCATGGTTGAAGTTTATGTTCATGAAAGAATAAAAATAATTTTGATTGGTTATGAATTAAAAAAAAAAATTTAAAAACACTATACACTAAGTCGGATCTTTAGTTGAGCCAAGTATTGATTTTCTTTACGAAGTTTTCGTATCATATCAAGAATTAGAAAGATAATCAGATTATTAAGAAAAACCAAAAATCCAAATTTTTTTAAAGAAAATATAATTTGTGATATATACTGAAAACATAATTCAGGTACCGAGTGAAGAGATCACATTATTTTACGCGAATTTTAATTGGTTATGAATTAAAAAAAAATTAAAAAAACACTACACACTAAGTCGGATCTTTAGTTGAGCCAAGTATTGATTTTCTTTACGAAGTTTTCGTATCATATAAAGAATTAGAAAGATAATCAGATTATTAAGAAAAACCAAAAATCCAAATTTTTTCAAAGAAAATATAATTTGTGATATATATTGAAAACATAATTCAGGTAACGAGTGAAGAGATTACATTATTTTACGCGCAACCCTAACTCCTTTCGCTCGATCGTGTAGTGTTTTTACTAAACTTTCCAATAATATTTTATAAGAAAATAAATGTTATTGTTTATATACCATATCAGTTTTGCAAAATGCCCAACAATTTTGACATGAGCAACCATTTTTTATTATTCTTAAAGTATACTCTAATGATTATGAATGTTAAATAATCCAAGAATATTTGTTTTACATTTTTTTATATTAGTAGAAGAAAGTAAATATGAATAAATGTATGGATCAGATAAATCTAAAAATTTAATATCCAGATAACCAAACTCGAATCTAATACAAACTAAACTATTTTGGATACCAAATTATCTAATTCATAATTATATTCTTAAATATATCAATTATTTTAAATTTTATATCTATTAGATATTCAAAAATATGCAAATATCTAAAAATTATCAACATAATCACAAGTATATATCTAAAAATAGCAGTAATTGTTCAAAATACTGATAATATTTATTTGTTCTTATCTAAATATTTAAATTGAACTAATTATTGTAAAAATTTAAATATTTGGTCCTATGTTATTCAAATTTTTATGTATTATATTATTTTTGGAATTTAAGGAATTAAGTATATTTAGATTTGTTTTGGAAAATATAATTAAAATGGACATCCGGACTCGAATCTAAATCGAACTCGAAATGATTCTGAACAAACGTAAACCAAAATTTGTAAATATTCGAATAAGATTTAAAATTCTATATCTAAAACTTTGGAATATGAATAACTTTCTGAATCTGAATAGATATATAAATATTCATCCCTCAAAAATTATATGATAAATTTCTAAATACAATATATAATAAATAATCTATAAACTATTTCGCCCGCGCTTTGCGCAGGTTACTACATAGTCTAACAGTATTAGAGAAACATGAGAGAACATGTAGATGGCTCAGACGCGACTGTAACAAGTTATTCTTTTTTGAAACTTGACTTGACTGTAATAAGTTGTGACATTAGCTGCTATCTTACAAAACATAATAGATATAGACAATGAACTACATGTGTTGTTGACCGTGTTTGGAGAGTATTTTAGTGAAATGAGGGGTAAAATATTGCTAGACTATCGTCCAAAACAAGAAAATTCCACAAAAGCAGTCTTGAACATGAAAATATTTTTAAAAAATTTAATCGTTGGATATTAGAAAGTAAAAGAGTACCCTTCCTTTGGATCTTTGCCAGAGAGATCGCCAACTTGAGCGAGAGCTTCTCTCCATTTGAGAATCTGTTGTTGATCTGTGTATCGTTTGTTCTTTAACGCAGTTTCGAAGCTCCCTTTCTGGTATCTCACGTCTCCAGGTGTAACTCTATAGAAGACGGGAACGACTTTAATGTGATTCTCTCTGGAAAGTTCCATTATGATTCTGAGCTCCTCCAAACACCATTTTGAAGTAGCGTAGTTTTCAGAGAGAACAACGAGAGCAAACCAAGACGTATGTATAGCGTTGACAAGTCTTTCAGGAATGTTGTCTCCTTCCTCAAGTTCCTTATCGTCTTTGAAAGTACGTATCCCTTCGCCAACAAGTGCTTTGTGCAAATGGCTGACGATGTTGTCGCGGGTGTCGGGCCCTCGAAAGCTGAGGAAGACATCGTAATACTTGGCAAGAGTAGAAGAGGAGGTGGACGAGTAAGCCATCCACAGATGTGTTGGATGATGAGCTCTCTATTAGGACAAGTTTAAACGTTTTCTTACAAATGTGTGTGTGATGAGCTCTCTATTAAGACAGATTTAAAATGAATGAAGGCGCGTAAATTATCTCCCTCTCGGTCTCTGGTCAAACGTTTTACTTACAATGTTACATAATGAACGTACATTTTTTCTGCTCAACAACTTGTATTTACTAGTAGTATTTTCTATATGGTTTTATGTCCCTTCCAGAGGTTGGATCATCCGATATGAAATTGGTTCGGTATACGTCTTAATCTATCTAATAAAATGTAACAACAGTATTTTAATTTACCCCCAAAAAAATGGCACAATATATAATAGTATTGACTCAAGACCAAAAGGTAAGAAAATATTATCGATTCTTTTAAAAAATGATTTATATGATGTCAATACGCTTATGAGTGTCTCATCTAAATTGTTTGTGTTCATTATGTTGTTTGCTCAAGAGGTACTAAAAGTCAAAACCTATATTGGCTTGTATATTTTATCGGTACCGCGTAGCTTCATGCATCGTTCAAGTTTCTTATTACGTTCAATAGAGACTCATGTATTTCAATTTATTTATTTTATTTAGTACTAATTAGGTAAACAATAATTTTCTTGTGGGGCAAAAATAAATTCAAGAAATCATTTTGCAACTACTAATTAATCTCTTTAGCTTTCACAAAAAAAAAAACTGAATCACTTTTGTTCAATATGTCTTTCTCATCCTCATCTTCAACCCCTGAGTTTGATGTCTTCTTGAGTTTCAGCCAAGATGCCAAAACTTTTGCCTCCGAACTTAGCCTTTCTTTTTCTGAAAATGGAATTACAATGAAAGGTGACGTGCTGCACAAGGGAGCCTCCTCGTCCCTAGGTTCTGAACGAAACGAAGGCATCATCAGAGAGTCAAAAGTCGCTGTTGTTGTTGTCTCACAGCGCTATCCGACCTCTACTCGGTGCCTTGACGAGCTTCAAACAATAGTAAGGTTTTACGATGAACGTCGTCTCTCCGTTCTGCCTATCTTCTACGGTGTTGATGTTACGGTAGTAAGAAGGCAGACTAAAGAATTCGCTGAGGCCTTTGAAAAGTTCGGTGAAGAATATTCTTCTGGGAAGGTTCAAGCATGGAGGATTTCTCTTATCAAACTCACTAACATATCCGGTGCCCCAAATTCACGTGACTGGTACAAGATTCTCAACTTTAAGCTAATCTTAATGTTGAAATATGCCTTCAATCTGCGATCTGACACAGATTGATCGATACAGATGTCATGGATCGATGTCGGATCAGATCGATCGAGAAGTCATGGATCGGTTGATCTGTGTCAAATCTGAGAAATATAGAAAATTTCATTAAAAGCTTTCTTATATGTATCTTTAGGGTTTTACTCTATTCTGTAACACTAATTGTACTCTGAAAAACTCGCCTCCATCAATAAAGTACTCTTTTTGCCCATGGATTAAACCACTTTAAATCTTTGTGTCTTTCTTCATTGTTTATCATCTATTAATCTGTTTCTTCTCACATCGTCACAACACTTAATAATAATATATGATCATCTATGTGTTCTTTGACTTTTTTTTTGTTTTCTCAACCCTTAGGATCGATGATGATTGGATGGTTGAAACGGTTACAAGTCAAGTCATGCGTGTTCTCACAGATAAGCGGGTCAAGCAGAGAGCAACCATCTCGCGTACTGTCTCTAAAGCCAAGCAGTCCATAAATTCATTACCAACAAAAAACCTTGGACTTGTTGGGTTGGATCGTCCTATGCTAGCGCTGCAAGAGATGTTGGATCTAAAATCCAACGAGGAAGTTCGCTTTATTGGAATTTGCGGTCAGGGAGGCGTTGGCAAGACGACACTAGCGAGACATGCTTATGAAGAACTTCGCAACAGCTTCCATGCTCATGTCTTTGTAGACAACGCTGCAAAGATTTGTCAGCAAGTTATCAAATCAACGGTTTCTCACAGGAGAAGTTTGCTAGTCGTTGATTCTGTAGATAACATCAAACAGATAAAGGAGATGGAAGATATTGTCGGATTGTGTTGTCCAGGAAGCAGAGTTATACTTGTCACACAAGACAAGAAATTGGTAGATGAGTTTGGTTTGGAGTATGTCTACGAGGTTCAACCTCTGAGATATGATGAAGCTCTTCAACTCTTCTCTCAAACTGCATTCAACCAGCAACACCCTCCAGCTAGCTTTGAATCACTCTCTCTTCATGCTGTTCGGATCGCTGGTTTCCTTCCTCTGTCTCTTAAAATCATAGGTTCTTCATTACAAGGCAAGGATGGCGAGATTTGGAGGAAGCAACTGCAAAAACTGGAGGGAAGCCAAGAGAAAGCTGTTAGGCAAGTAATGATGAAAATCTTTGTAAAGGATGTTGCCGATGCATTTATCATTCCTCTAAAGTTATGAGTTGGTGAGACAGTATTCACCTATTCATAAGTTTAGAGGAAAGATAAATGCATCGGCAAAATATCCTTTACAAAGATAAATGACAGTATTCACATATAGAAGCAGAAGGTGTTTGTGTATACTACAGATGCAAAGAACAATGTCAAGTGATAAGATCTGTTGTCATGATGTATAATATAAGATGTTCTGTGTAAATGTGTTGTCATGATGTATAATATAGAATGTTCTATGTAAATGTGTTAAATTACCTGAGAAATCTGGACAATATACTTCAAAATCAGGTTATGCTATTGCTAGGATCAATTTTGCTATGAACAAGATATATGCTGGCAATGGCTACCATACTACTCGTTGATGTTGTGAACCTGTAGTAGCCTCGTAGGCCAACGGCTTAGGGAAGTTGAAGTTTCGTTTACATATGAAATAGGGTTTTTAAAGTAACAAAACAAAGCATGTGGAGGCAGAGTCATAGTTGGCAAGCTGTTTCAGCTAACCGTCACCCTGGGGATGGAAATTTCATGTCCAACCAACAAAGCCTTGGAGCTAAGCTTGCCCCCAGCTTGGCAGAGATGCTTCAGCTGCTGTTAGTTAACTCCTAATCCTATTCAAAAAAATTAAAATCTTTACTTTTTATTTCTATAATTAGTAGTTGTTCATAATGTCCAGGATAAGTTAATTAGATAATGAGATTAAGATGTTTGGCAGTATCAGGGAGCAGCTCGGCGCTTTACCACACAGAAGAAGAGTATTGTGGAGATTGAATCGGTTGGTATTGCTGCTAAAACTGAGAGCCGTGTTAAGAAATACTTTTGCCTAGAGGTAGAGAAAAATTTCAACTCCGTTCTCTTCACAAACCCTTTGGACATATGTGTCTTAGATCTTGAGTCCTGACTATGTTTATGTGCAGTTTGTTGCTAAAGAACAAGAACATATGAATGAAGATTTGGATCTCAAGGCCCTCGAAGATGGTTTTGTAAGTTGGCATGATCATACAGTATCATAGAATTTTTTCTGGTGAAGTTCTTGATTCTAGACTACTTACTTACCCTTTTTCGTAATAACAGGTTTTTGTGACTCCATTGACTCTACTTCCAAAAATGGATTCAGAAAATCATGCCGCAGTGTCATAATGGATCTCTAAAGCCCTTAATGCTGATCAATGAAAAAGGTCATACTCAGTAAATTATGTTACATGATTTTGGCTAAAACTCTGGCGACAAATCTGGAACTCGATTCTGCATTCTGCATTCTGCATTCTGCATTCTGCATTCTGCATTCTGCATTCTGCATTCTGCATTCTGCATTCTGCATTCTGCATTCTGCATTCTGCATTCTGCATTCTGCATTCTGCATTCTGCATTCTGCATTCTGCATTCTGCATTCTGCATTCTGCATTCTGCATTCTGCATTCTGCATTCTGCATTTGTTTGTTCTTGTGGTCTTGTTTGTTATTTAACCATTGTTTCTATATTATTTATTTGTTTCCCGTACAAAGTTTCGTGGGTTGTTTTATGTTGGCTTGGTTGATTGTCAGTAGCTGTTTGGGAACGCGCTTACCTTATAATTGGAAAAGGGTTGGTCTGCTTTTTGATTCATACAAGCATGCCTCCAGAGGTGCGATTCATGAACCATGTCGCGTCATTTTATGTATCATGCAAGCATGCATCCAGTGACAACACCCACTAAGCACACTAATAAAACAAAAGCCAAGTGTTACAACCACTTTTCCATAGCTTCCAACAAATCTTGGCATTATCCAAGTTCGAACAAGGACCAATAACTATTTATTGACTGTTGTTGGACAACACTTATGCAGCATATTTAACCGTTATTGATGAAGCATGATGATTGGTTTAGAAAGAAAACATATATAAAGAGAAACATTTACAGAAAACTTATACGAGTGAACCCGATGAATGGTCATTTTCAGTTAAAGGTGAAGCAGTATAACGGGAAACGATTTGCCTCATCGGCGCCAATGTGTGGCTCCGGTATGATTGGACCTCTTGAAGTAAAGTCATCTCCACCAACGTACCTACGAATCCCTGAAATGTAGTTTTCATATGATGCTTCAAACTTATGCAGAGCATTTTCCCATTCATATTTACTCATACCATACAGAAACGATCCCAACACTTTGAGGGCCAGAGGAATGCGACCAGCCACCTCAACAGCGCGACAAGTGAGCTCTTCGAAACCAGAAACAGGTTTCGTTTGCTTGAAAGCAAAGTGTGAAAAGATTTGAATAGCTTCCTCATATTCCGGACGCGCAACTTCGTACATGTGTTTCACTCCACATTGAACTAGCAAAGACTTGTCTTGAGTGATCACCATAACCCGGCTTCCTGGACCAAACAAACTGACTTCCTTTAGAAAACTTTGTAGCTGTTTAATGTCGTCCACACTGTCAGCAACAACAAGAACTTTTCTTTGACCCACCATTTGTTTGGTGACATCAGAGCTCCCATGGAAGCTAGCTTTAGTAGAAAAAATCTCTAGCAAACTGGGTGCGGAGCTGCTGCTGTCTTGTTTGCTCAAATTATTCATGAAAATGTGGTGTTGGAACAGTGGCGAGATCTCATCATAAACGTGCCTGGCAAGAGCTGTCTTCCCAACTCCTTCCATTCCGTAAATGCCTATCGTGTGAACTCGGTTTCTAGAATATGAAAACAACATCTCACGCACCTCTTCTGCACGAGGCTTCGGCGAGCCCCTACTCTCAAAAGGTTTGCTGTGACTCGCAACTGTTTTCATCCTCAAAGTGTCTTCGTACTCGAGGGCCTGATCACTATCCTTATAAAGTTTGCTGTGACGCCCAAATTCGTTCTTCTTCCTTGGTAGCTTGGGAACAGCCCACTTTAGAACAGAACTTCGAGAGCTTTTTTGGGCAGATATCAGAGTGTCTGAAACGAAGTTGGTAATCTTATCCACAAGCTCTGAGTCATCCTCACTTTCATGAAAAATTAGTGTCCAACAACACAACATCAGGGCAACAACACAATCATTTGTATAGACAAGTAGTTATGAAATGATTTTCAAACATCATGCTGATATGAATGACCCTAACAGAACTCGAAAAATAAGATAGAAAACAATGTACCAGTCACGAGAGTCGAATCCAGAATCATGGGCTAGGTGATCATGTAGCCACTGGCTCACCTCTACCAAGTTTTTGATCCGCAAGCCTGTGGAATCTCCTGCATGAGTTAAGGCTCTAAACACATCCCCAGGGTCAACTTGTAAGAAGACAGGAACTGCTGTCGAGTTATTTTTCTTCACATACTTTATTATCTTGGCCAGTTCGTCCACCCACAAGTCCAAATAGATGTAGTTCTTGGATATCACAGAGATTGCCACAACCGACTGCCTTATAGCCTGATTGTTATTGGGATTGTTCGGTGCCGATGTGACTGCTGTGATGCCTTTCCTATCCAACGAGCGAAGAAGGTGGCTGAGAAACGTTTTTCGGATGAACTCCTCACTGAAACTCAGGAAGACGTCGCACCTCATGATTACCAAGCTTCTTCCTATTCCACAAAGAGGGTGAATAGAGAGTTTTTTTTTTTGACTTATTATTTGCGTGTAAAACCCTCTCAGGAACAAGTCAACCTTTCTTGAATATTATAAGATACGAGTTCAGATGCTGTATGCTGTTCAGATTAGTTGCCAGCAGGTCGTGCTTACTCACAACGTGGTCTCATGTAATCAAAGCGTACTAACACGTTGACTTTGATTTTAGTCTTCCTTGAATTTTCCAGCTCTACTATTGATCCAAAGATTCAAAACCAACGGCAAACTTAGCTCCTCTGAAACATATCAGTATCTATGGATTCATCCTCTGCACCTCCCGTTGTGAAGCAGTACCAAGTGTTTCTCAGCTTCCGAGGAGAAGACACCCGCAGAACCATTGTCAGTTTCTTGCACAAAGCACTTGTTGCCAGGGGAATTGATACGTTTAAAGATGATAAAAGACTTGAGATTGGCGACTCCGTTCCCCATGCAATCAAGGAAGCTATACATAATTGCAAGATCGCTCTTGTGGTTATCTCTGAGAACTATGCTTCTTCGACTTGGTGTCTGAACGAGCTCCAAATGATAGTGGAGCTTCACAAGAAACAACAACTCACTGCTGTCCCAATCTTCTATGATGTCTCTCCCTCTGACGTCAGACACCAGAGAGGAACCTTCTCCTTAGAAAGATACGAGAGCTCAAAGATCATGCTCTTGTTTTCCAGTGAAAAGAGGAAAATGGCAGAAATGATTCAGAAATGGAGAGAAGCTCTTACCGAGATTGCAGGAATAACAGGCAAGGATTCAAAAACTTGGTGAGTTTTTCATCACAAGATTTCTCATATAAATTGTTGATATAACATACTAAGCTTTAGTTTTGTCATACTTGGCTAACATTTTCCTCTGGTGTGGGTGTATGTTGTGGTGTTAGCGAGGATGAAGCCGCTATGATTGAAGACATTGTTGGACGTGTTTCAAGACAACTTTTCTCTATGGAGACAGTAGAGTTTAGCGACATTGTTGGAATGGATTCCCGCATGGAAGAACTCAGTCCTCTGATGACTAATGAAGACGAAGGTTATCAGATGATAGGAATCACGGGGATGGGAGGCATAGGAAAAACAACATTGCAAAATGTCTCTATAACGAACATTCGCATCGATTTACTCATCGTTGTTTCATAGAGAACGTTAAGAGTTTTGCAGAGAAAGGCCTCATCCATTTACAAGAAAAGCTTATTTCTAGTATCCTTGGGGAAGAACACGAGAAAATCTGGAGTGTGGAGCAGGGAGGCCTATACATTAGATCGAGGCTCGGAAACCGTAAAATTCTCCTTGTCCTTGATGACGTTGACAACTTGGACCAGCTGCATGCCCTGGCCAAAGAGACTAGTTGGTTTGGACCAGGGAGCCGAATCATCATAACAACAAGAGACCAGGGCTTGCTATTCTCTAGTGGAGTCACAAGTGTATATAACGTTAATGTTTTGAACAGTAATGACGCAATCCAAGTATTTAAGAAAGTTGCCTTTAAAGGAAGAGAAGATCCTCCTTCTGATGAATTGTCAGTACGCGCTTGTAACCTTGCACAATGTCTTCCTGCTGCACTTAAAGCTTTTGGCACATTTCTCTACGGAATGAACTCTGTAGAGGAATGGGAAAAGGCATTGAGAAGACTCGAGGAAGTTCCTCACCAGAGAATCATGGAGATTCTGAGAACCAGTTATACTGCTTTGGACAGGATACATCGGGTTATGTTCCTTCATGTTGCATGCCTTTTCAATGGAGATTCTGTCCGACGTGTAACCTCCCTTGTAGATGGGGAATTAGAGATTAAAGGTTTAGCAGAGAAGTCTCTCATAGACATAACAACCGATGGGTTTATCAACATGCATAGCTTGGTAGAACAAGCAGGAAGAGAATTTGTGCGTGAAGAATCAGACTCCACTCCTTGGAGACAGAGAATTCTATGGGAACAGGAGCAGATTAGTTCCGTGCTGCAGAACAACACAGTAAGTGTTCTTTATTCTCTCCCTTTGTTTTAATCTTTTCTCCTTGTCAATTCACCCAACAATCTCCCATTTTAGGGTACAGCAACGATCCAAAGTTTGGCACTACACATGTGTGAGATGCCTCGTGTGTTGTATATTGAGGGAAGGGTTTTCAAAACCATCGATCTCAGATACCTCAAGGTCTTCCAGCATTTGAATGATACAGAATCCAAGTTGCAGTTCCTTGCAGGTGAAGATGACCTTCCTAAACAACTTAGGTTGTTACATTGGGATTCCTATCCCTTGCAAACCTTACCTCCCTCGTACTGCGAAAAGCTACATTATCTCGTAGAAATAAATCTCCGGTTCAGTAAAATTGAGCGCATGTGGCGTGGAAACCCGGTAAGACATTTTTGTACTGCACTGGTGTTGTTTTGGGATGACAACTTTATATTTGTAAAAGCACTTAGCCTAATATTTTCTTTTGTTTTGCATTGGTTCATTATATATCAGGAACTCCCTATGTTGAGGAGACTAGATATGACTTGTTCTCGTAACCTGTGGGACTTTCCAGGTCTTGCAAAGGCCAATAAGCTGGAAGAGTTGCTAATGGAAGGCAGCACAAGCCTGAAGAGACTCCCCAGGACCACGATCAGTAGCTTGTCTTGCCTGCAAACACTTAACTTATCCCACTGTGATGGCTTAAAACACTCCCGGATCTTTATATTTGAAAAGGAGGTCCCTCTAGAAAACTCGTCTAGAAGACGCCGACGACAGATATTATTACAATTTAGCATAGATGAAAAAAAAATAGGCTCACTTGCAAATCTTTCCATCGATGGGAGTATAGACATTATCTTATTGCATTTCAAAGGACATGAAGATCACATCTCCTGCATATCCGAGCAGAAAACTCCTGAAGAAATGATGAGGATGCTGGGTGAAGGCGTTCCGTGTAACTCAAGCTTCTTTGAATTTAAGTTGCTTCACATCAAGCGGATAAGTTACAATGCCTATCGTCCTTTTGAATGTGATACCTTCTCAGGTCTTCCTTTCTTGATGGAGTTGAAAATGATCAACTTAAACATCAACAAGATCCCAGACGACATCGATCATTTGCAATCACTAGAGAAACTAGACCTTAGTGGAAATGATTTCAAGAGTCTACCTAAAACTATGGTGAAGCTTTCAAAGTTGAGATCTCTCAGGCTTTGTAATTGCAGCAATCTTGAGGCATTACCAGAGCTGACTCAGTTGCAGACACTCAATCTTTCCAGCTGCTTAAACCTCACATCACTGCTGGAACTTTCCCATGATGAACGTGGTGGCATATATGGTTTGCTAGAGCTTGGGCTTGACAACTGCAGAAATGTACAATCCTTATCAGACCAGCTTTGTAACTTCCCAAGTTTAATACACTTGGACCTCAGTAGACATGACTTCGAGACAATCCCACAAAGCATCAGGGAGCTTACATCGTTGGCTACGATCTGTCTTAATAACTGCAAGAAACTCACATCAGTGGAAGAGCTTCCACTAAGCCTCAAGCATCTCTACGCGCACGGCTGCGTATCACTTGATTATGTCTCCCTTTCCTGGGACAATTGTATTGAACATCTTGACCTTAGCTATTGCTTGAGACTGAAGCAAGGTGAATTTCTGTTTGCTCGAATTCTAAATGACGGTGTTAGCAGCCGAGCGGTGAGCTTTGTGATCTCTCAATAGTTCACAACTTATATGCTCTATATTGTGAGCTAGTAAACAGTTTCTTTTTTTTTTTTTTGTAGATTACACCAAGATTTGCTTGCTTAGCTGGAGAGGAAGTGCCTAGCTATCTTGATAATCAAGCCCAGGGGACATCTACAAGGATCAGCCTACCTTTGAATAGGTTTACTTCCAAGATGTTGGGTTTAGCTGCATGTGTCATGATCTCTTGCAAGACGCCCTTCCATCTCCAGTTTCCGGAGTTTACTTGTAGCTTGAGCTGGGAAGGTGAAGGAGCAATTCGAATGAACCTTAAACCAAATCTATATTGTTGTTTGTCGGAACACAAGGGTGTTTCATTGTCATTGTCATTGCATCACCTGGTTGTCATCTTCGTCCCAATTCGCATAAACACGGACAACTTTGACGAACTGCGCCTCGAATCACACCTTCAACTTCCAGAAGAGTTTCAAATTCCACCAGCCGAGATAATAGCTTGTGGGGCACGCGTAGTGTTCAGTGACCGGGAAGACCGCCTAAAAAACCCTCAACTCTGGTTTTCTTCGCCCATAATACCATGAGGAGGAACACATACTACAAATATCATTTATATAACTCAATTATCCCTGAACAACATCTGCCACTGAAACTTGGTTTCTACTTCTTACAGCGGTTTGGTTTGGATTCTGGTTCGATTTGCAAAGGAAATTACAACGGGTTTTACCTCAACACTAGGTCTGCAACCCAATTTTCACCTACTGAAATCATTATCACATTTTCAAATACAATCACATTTGTGAGCGAATTTGACATCTCCAAGGAAGTAATATTCTTAAACCATATAAACAAAAAGCAAAAATGGTAATCTTCTTATGTGAGATTTGCCTCTACTCATAACTTTTGTAGTTCCACAAATCTTCTACTTCAGCTTTCTATTTGGTCCAAAGAAAGGTAATTAACTTTTGAATTCGTAATTAAGAAAACAATGAAGTACCAATTGTTATGCTTTGGTTGTATCGAGGATTTGGAGGATAAATAAGGCATAGCACTATACTTAACTTGCACTAAAGCTTTCTTTCATTGCAAAAAAAGAAGGTTAGGTGCTTGATTAAGAACTCAACCTAAGTTTTAGTATAATAAAATCTTTATTCCTATCTCATTTTACATGCTTACACTTTCCTTAAACAGTCACACTACTATAGTCAAGATAAATGGTTCTAACAAGTATACAGCTGGTAGATCAAAACTGAACTTTTATTCTAAATATGAAATGTGTTAGTTTATTCACCAGCTAAGGGGCGGCTAAAGACTAAGTAAAAACCTAAAGACGGTTCACAGAGCTTCATTGTCGGGAAACGACAACACACTTTGGACAAAAAGCTAAATATCAACTTAATTAATAAAGTAACTTAGCTTAACGTGGCCAAGATAGCTTATACTTTTTGGCTTCATTACTAGATTAGATTAAATTAAACAAGGAAGACATCATACAGCAACCAAAAAAAGAAATCAATTAAATTTTAAAATATAATATGGGGGAAAAGTTAGTATAAGACCACCTTACATTATACTCCATTATTGCTAAAGTGATAAAACAGGAAAAGCTTAAATTGCTAAACTAATTTGTTAGAGATAAGAATCATTTTTAGTTGCATTATCATTTGTTTCTTTTTTCTAAAATATATAGTTTTAGAAATTTCGTAATTTTTTATTTTCATTTTTAAGGAATTTAGGAATCTGAAATAGTTGGGCCGGTTTTAAATAATAAAAATGTTTTCCTTTTTTTGATTCTGTGTGTGTTGGGTAAAGTAAATTAAGCTCTTATTAAATGAAATAATTAAAGCACTTAAAGACAATACTAATGAACCAGAAGAAGAAGGTGGTAGTGCTGCTCATAGCCATGGTGGTTTCCCAGGAAATATAAAAGCTAGAGAGAGAGAAAGAGAGAAACAAATCAAACGGAGACGAAGAAAGCACAAGAAGAAGATACACACTGAATCCCTTAACTTCACAGAAAGAAAGAGAGAAGACATGCAAAACTAAAGTCTGTGTCCTTTCTTCATCTTCGTTTCATCTAAATACTCAAAAAGGTTTTCTCTTTATCTATCTAATATCTATCTATCTCCATCTAGTCTCTTCTTTAAAAGGCTTTGGTTTTTAATCTCTGTCAAAGTTTTCCCCTTTTTTGGTGTATCTGCCTTGGTGGCGTGTGATTCATGTTGTGTACTGATTTGGTAATCCTTTCCTCTCAAGTCAACGCCTTTTTTTTTGCCAAAAGTGATGACTGTTGTCACAACTTGTGTGTTTTGTTTCTTGGTCGGAAGATTTCTAATTTCGACCAATCGTCTCGATTTGGTTTTACCCAAGATAGTACTATCGAATCAGAGTTCGTTTAGATATGACTTATTGTGTTGGTAAAAACTTGCAATTTCTATTTCTTGGTTTTAAAGGATATTCTTTTATGTAATATATCATCTTTGTCCAAATAGTCTAATGTTTTTTGAACCATGGTTGAATTATATAGGCCTTCTTCATTATCATCTTGTTTGACGTTATGCATCAGATGAATAAGAAAGGTTCCACTTTGCCATACCTTAATACTAGCATCTCATGGGGTACTATGATTCCAACGGTACCCTTAAGCTTGAAGACGGTGGATGCAACAAGGGCTGAACATATGCAGCATACCACAAAGCAAATCAGTTTCCAGGACCAGGATTCACCTTCAACTCAGTCCACTTGTCAGTCTTACACTGAAGTTGCAAGTAGTGGAGATGATAATCCTTCCAAACAAATCTCTTTTTCAACCAGATCAGGTCTGTTCTAAAGCAATTTCATTGGTTGTACATATTGACTCTTGCTTTGATGTTTTGAGATTCTCTTGATTGCTTATCAGATAAGAGATTGTTGGTATATGTTCAATAGTCATGTTATTTACAAGAGAATCGATCATTTTGCCAAAAAGAATGTTATCATCATCTCTCTCATTTTCTTGTCTAGGATCTGAAGAAACTCAGCGGAAGGTATCTGCGACTCATGCTAAATCAGGTGCAATTACAGGATTCCCGAACATGCACTTTGCTCCTACGCAGGTATTTGTAAACTGTTAATATGTAATAATAGCAAGCAAACATTTGATGGTGGACTGATATCTTATATCATACATGCTGCAGGCTAATTTCTCATTTCACTATGCTGATTCGCATTATGGCGGTTTGTTAGCTGCAACGTATCTGCCACAGGCACCGGTTAGTATTATGACCATCCTTTTTTGTATACTTCCTTCTTCTTCTTCTATGCTTACATTTAGTTTGTTTATGCAATGAAGTAGTTTCATTATGCCTTGCATTGGTAGATTATCTTTCAGTGTTATCAAGTCTTTTCATCTCTTTTGTAGACATGCAATCCCCAAATGGTTGGTATGGTTCCTAGTAGAGTTCAGTTACCAGTGGAGATCGCTGAAACTGAGCCAGTCTTTGTCAATGCGAAGCAGTACCATGCAATCATGAGGAGAAGGCAGCAACGTGCCAAGCTTGAGGCTCAGAACAAACTAATCAAAGCCCGGAAGGTATGATAAGGACTAACAACAGAGACAAAAAAACAAAACCTTCTCATTCAGAGAGCTATGCTCATCTGTCTTTTTCTTACTGCAACAGCCTTATCTTCATGAATCACGACATGTCCATGCTCTTAAAAGGCCAAGAGGATCCGGTGGAAGATTCCTCAACACCAAAAAACTTCAAGAGTCCCAACAGGCTGCTGCTAAAGAACAAGAACAACGTGACAAGTCGGTTCAGGAAGCAAACAAAAAGGCAAACATGTCTAGATTCCAAGCTCATATGCTGCAGCACAACAAAGACCGTGGCTCAACCACTTCTGGCTCTGACATCACATCTGTTTCCGACGGTGCTACTGATATCTTCGGACACACTGAATTCCAGTTTTCAGGTTTTCCAACAACTCAGACTAACCGAGCTATGCTTGTTCATGGTCAATCCAATGACATGCATGGAGGTGGGGACTTGCACCATTTCTCTGTCCATATCTGAGACATTGAATCTTTGGTGATGTTTCATGTTTCCCACCATAAGGGGAAGTCATCCTTGGCTACTACTAGTTCTTCTACTTCTGTTACTTTTCCATTTTACTTTATCTATTGTGTTAAGACATCACCACAAGAACATGAACTACCATAATCTTCGCTTACCTTGTGTATCTTCCTATGTAAACTAGTGGTTTGATTTTCGTATAAACTTTCAATTCCACTTTGTGTGTTTCTTTTATCACTTCATGTGTGCCTGTAATGAAGAAGTCTCTGGATTCTGTATGATTATGATAAATAAAACACAGATTCTGCTTCACTCCTTGGTTTTGTGTAAGAGACATTTGAATCTCTGAATATTTTACAATTTAGTTGACAATGTTTGAGATACGTTTAATGAAGAATCTAGTAGTATTTTAATATAAGATAATTTCTTATTCTGTATACACTTACTTGAATTAAAAAGAAGTTGAAAGATTCTACTTTGAGTCTCATTAGGAAAATATCATCACAGTTAAATACTTGAAAATATTACCATTTCGTCGACATGTACCTGAATAAAGAAAATATCAAATCTGTTACCAATTATTTCCTATAAACTATTTTGAATAAGGTAAGAAGTAACGTAAGATTCTGCTCCACAATACGTTTTGACTTATGTGAAAGATACAAACTTGTGTTCCTGAAACACTAGCAACGATCGATCATACTTTAATTGGATAAAAACAAAAGACACCATTTTCAATTATATAAAGTCACAATCAAACCCTGTAAATCACTTTCAAAAAGTGATTCATGACTTACTGATTATAACATATTGCCAAATCAAATCTTGTCGTGCGTGCATAGTTGATGCAAGACTGTAATTGCCCAGCAAAGTCTTACAAGTCATCATTTTATCATACCGGTTTAAGTAGCACGGTTATGGTGAACCGATCCAAACCTGGAATCCAAGCAAATGTGGGAGTGGGAATAAACATTTCTTTATTTAGAAACAACTGAAACATTACAATATGACTAGGAACAAAAGAGAAAGCAGAACAGCTAGACAAGAACAAGATAAGTAAGAAAATATAAAGAACATTTCCCATCAAAGATTCTTCTTCTATGTGGTTGGTTTCCTCAACACTATGATTTAGAGCAAAACCCGTCATGGTTCTTAGCCGAAAGCCGTTTCAAGAACTCGTAGGTAGTGATCATAGTTGTCGCAGACATTGACATTGAAGCACATCTCGGTCCCAACCCTCTATAACAAGCTGTCCATCCACCTTCCCTTACCAAGTTCCTCACCGTCTGTCCAATACTCGGTCCACGCTTACTACTACTATCTTCCCCATCAAGAACCTGCAGCCTCGTCTTGATTGTATCCAACGGCATTGTAATCAAAGCAGAAACACTCCCAGCAATAGCAGCACTAACTCCCTGAACAGCCATCACCGTCTTAGAGTCCGGTCTAACCATATTCCCATTCTCTCCATCTTTCTTACAAACATAACACCCAACACCACCCCAAACCATCCTCTGCGCAACAGAGTAAGACGCCCACCAAACCGCATTAGACGGCGCATACGTCAGAATCGATATCCCAAACCCTCTGTATAAACCCTTCACTCCATCAGCTCTCACAATCTTCTTAAACGCATCAAACCCGTTAACATAATCACAACACCTAACCCCGCTGCTTCCTTGCACCATAAGCCTCTGGCTCACAACATCAACAGGTGTCCAAACAAGCTGAGCAGCCATCGCAGCCGTTAACCCACCAACGGCATTAGCAGCAGCAGAGGCTTTACCTTCAGTAAAACCTAACCCAACAGCAGCAGAGCCTACACTACTCTTGGTAACTTCCAAAGCCGTCATGTATAAAGCCCTAGCAGGGATGGTTCCCATCAAAGAAGTACCAAACCCTCTATACAACCCTCTCAAACCTTCGTGTCTCACTAAAGTAAACGCACCTCTAAGACAAGAGCCTTGAGAGTGGTGACAGACTTGTTGACGAGTCTTCATCAACACGGCAGGGTAAAGAGCTCCAGAGACACCTGAGAACAGAGCTGCTCCTAAGATAAAGAACTTGGATTTGTCAAGCATCTCCCAGTTTATATCTGCAGGGATGTGAATCTCTTGCGCCGATTCTTCCTCGGCCGTACTAAGATTCATCTTCGCCAGTTTTTAAACAAAAAAAAAAGAAACGAACTTTCGATTTCTATTTACAATCGGAGACTGTAAGGCGTCTCCAGGATTAGGAAAGACCAAAACTTTCTAAAAAGGGAAAGAAATAAAAAGAGATTAGATTCGCTGAGAACGGAAAGGGAAAGGTATCATCAAACCAAGAGACGACGGCATTTTTTGCGCCTGTGGAACCATGTATTTGATGAGAAACGATCAGAGAGAAGATTGTGCGGATCTAACAACATCACTCAACGATTCCAAAACAGAACAATCATCCTTTTAATCTTCACCACGAAAAAAAAGCTGTTTCCTTTGCCGGAGAAGATAATCCAATACGTTGTTAGAGAAGTAACGAAGAGAGAGAGAGAGAGAGCACGAAAATGCGACCTTATACTGTTGTAATAGAGCGAGACTAGGGTTCTGTTTTTCTTTTTCTTTTTTTTTACCGGTAAGCAAACGAAATCGAGATTCCGGTATAGCTAACCGGTTCGATAAACCGATTTATCTTATGTAACGAAATGGTTTTCACTTTTTTAAGGAAGTATGGAGGCTCTGAATAAAATTCAGATGCTGGCAGGGGACACGTGTCGGTCACGACGGCTGAGATACAGATAAGGTACAAAAATGGTCATCAAAATCAACGGCTAGGATCTATTTGAGAGGGAGGAGAGAGAAAGTGGATCGGCTTTTGTTTGATATGGATAAGATGACGTGGTGTCCATATCCTTGGGTCGTAGGGCAGACACAGGTTTGGGAGGAAACAAGGGTCAGTGTGTGTGAGAGCTGAGTCACGTGATCTTTTCAGACAAACTCACGTGACCTCTCTTCTGCATGATTCTTTTTTTTTCTTTTTTACAGTTCCACCATCCCTCCTCCAGGCTTTTTATATGCATAAAGAATATCTTTTGGGTGAAGGTTTTATCATTTCATTGAGATGCTAAATTTTCATGAACAGTTGTGGTCCTAGAACAAAAGAAACCACCAAACATCAACAGAAATCATTTTTCGCTGTCGTTGTTATCATTTATGTGACAATGTGAGTGTCATATATTTTAGATTCAAATCAAAATACCAAATAACGTTTTTCTTAAATAAGCATTAAACAAATGTACATTACTCTTTTGGTCTACATATGACATTTATACATCGTTAAATCATTTGTCTTCAACAGATTTTGGTGGGGGAAAAGTTGTACCTCAAAGAAAAAGTTATATTCGGCATGGAACTGATTCCAAAAGGTATCTTAGCATTGTGATGGGCTGGGCAAATTATGATCGGATAAAATTCTTAATAATGTTGGTTGTAGACTTTGAACATGGACTAAATCACCCTAGTTTTAATTCACCACAATCCTCTTATTTGTAAGATCCACTTTTATTGGTTCAGAACATTTTCCATGTCTTAAGTAACCAAATAAAAATCCTTTTTTTTTTTTTTAAGCAATAAAAATCCATTTTGTTTGTTGAATGTTATGTAAAGTATACAAATACAACCTTCCATAAAAAATTGAAATGGTGATGAATGTTAAAGATCGATGTAAACTATTGGGCCGAGGATAACAAGGTAAGAGATTTATTTTGGTCCTTAAGAGAGCTTGAGAAACTAATTCACTCCCCAAAAATATATAAAGATTGTTTGCTTAACGCAAATTGTATTAAGAACTAAATATTTCAAAGAAGGAAAAAAAAAAGAAAAACAACACAATTTACTTATGTACACACCAAAAAGGGATCGACGATCAAGAATGAAACACTCCAAAAAATAAATCAACGGTCTGCACATGGGCCTGGGCCTCTAATGGATTTATAACCCGTTTAAGATTCAGATTCATCAGGTCCAGGTTCGGGTCCTAAGTTGGATCTCCTTCTTTTCACAGAGTTCATCTTCTCCAACTTGAGTCCAGCTCTAAACCTCGCGATGAAATCATCAGCTTTGGTATCCACATCAGGGCTCGGACAGAACATTCTCCTTCCTGAGCTTGATTGAGCTACATCCGAATCATCATCAAGTTCGTCAGAGCTTATGCTGATGTTGCTAGCCATCCTGACGTAATCCCCACGCTTCACGAATTTCCACGCCGGCATTTTGAAAGGTGGAGGAGGAGGTGGCGGCAGTGGGATCGGCATTAATGGCGATTCGCTTCCAGTGCCTATGAATTTACTCTTCGCCATTGATGCGCGTGATTCAAAGCTCCAATATGGTGGCGGAGGAGGAGGCGGTGGATTTGAATTAGTTTTCTTGCTTTTACCTTTTTTAGACGAGAAGAAAGGTGGTGGAGGTGGCGGTGGTGGCGGCGGTAAAGATTCAAATTGGGAATCTGAGCCGAAGAGTAGATCAAGACCGTCAATGCTCTGTTGCCTTTGCTTCTTCTTCTTCTCTCTCCGTAGAGTAATAAGAAAGTCCTTAGTTGCTCCTCCTTTCTTTTGATACACCGTCGCTGGAGGTGGAACCGGAGTAACCGGAAGCGTGGCGGCCACGAAATCACTTCTCTCCTTGTTCTCTTCCTTTGCAACAACATCTTGGTACACTTTCTTTGTCCTCCTCTTCGCTGGCTTAGAAGCTGGAGGAGCACGAGGCGGAGAAGGCGGAGGAGAAAGAGGATACGGTGGAGCAGAAGGAGGAGGCCGCGGATTATAATAAGGCGCTGTTACATCAGAACCACAGCTATGAACCTTTTTTCCTCCGTTGCCGCTCTCTGAATCTGAAGCGTCATAACGGCATTGACTTACACGTGTATCGTCGTAAAATCTCCACCGTTCATCGGACTCGAAGTCTCGGAGCCGTAGATCAGGATACGAGCTACTACTCCGTAAACTATTATGCCTCTTGTACACCGTTTGCTCCGGAAACTGATCACCTCCTTTTGAGAATTTGTCGAAACTGTATCCGTTGATGACGTCATTGTTTTTACTGAGGTGTTCTTTGTTGTGATCGCTTTCGTCGTCGCTGGTGTTGCGGCTGAAGAAACCGCAGATGACTGCGAAGAGGACGAGGACGAAGTTGAGGTAGTCCCAGCTTTTACGGACTAGTTGTGGTCGGAGAAACTGTGAAACAGAGGAAAAGAATGGAGTGATGATGAAGAAGACTATGAGGATGACAGCTGCTCCGGCGAAGAATGCTTGAATTGCGACGGTGGTTGCGGAGCCTCCGAGACTAGATGTACGGCGGAAGTGAGTGTTATTGCGGCGGGATTGAAGCCAGAACGGCGTAGACGCGTCACCATCTTCTTCTTCCATACTCTTCTTTTCTTTTAAAAACTTTTTGAGTTTTTTTGCTCACAAAAAAAAAAAGAGAAAACTTTTAACTTTTTTTTTTTTTTTGTGAGGAGCAGTTGGTTTCAATGATGCTGTAATGTTTTGCTTTATATACTTTGCTTCTTGTGTTTAGATTTTTTTCTTTCTTTCTTTCTTGATTACTTACTACTTTACTTTGCACCTTCCTTGCAAGAAAAAATGTTTCTGTCTTCAAGTGTTAGACACGTTTCTTGCAAGCATTTTATAACATATATAGTAATGTGTAAATTTCTTCATTTCATATATCTTATAGTACACATGTTTATGTTTACCCCTTTATTACATTTGCATATACCGTCAATGGATTTACGAAATGTATATTTGAACAAAATGTAAATGATCTAATTACGTAATGGATGACTACACCTTTTACCAAGTCATCCATGAAACTTCAACCGAAATTTACAAAATATATTCCCTTTTACCCTTCTTATAATAATGTATCTTTTGTTTCTTCTCGTTTTTTGTGTTTTTTATGATTTTTAGATAAAATAAGCTGGAAAACGGTGGTAATTTGCTTTCTGAATGCTGGATATGAAATTACAAAGATAATTGCTTGTGACACAGCTGGATTAGATGAAGCAAATACATATTGGTACGCCAAAATTGTTCAACGTAGTCGTATATGTATAACGTGTAAATAAACACGTTTTCTATTCGAAACCAAAGGCGTAATTAGCATGTTAACTTGTAATTTCGTATAAAAACCTATGGTCAAGTCAATATTAAAATTTATATTATCGAAGATTTTAATAATTAGCATTTCTGGTCAAAGAGGAACGAAGAGGAAAGAGCCGGCGCTATCTTGCCGCAAACCGTCAACTTCAAATATTTATATTATCAAATGTGGTTAATTTTTACAAAAAAAAAAAAGAAATACCAAAACAATCGTGAACAATCGTGAACGGCAGGATTCGAACCTGCGCGGGCAAAGCCCACATGATTTCTAGTCATGCCCGATAACCACTCCGGCACGTCCACTTGTTGTCTATAAACTGCATTCTCTTATTGAAGATAATAAATGAAGCTTCTTCTAAAATCCATTGCCTAAAAGTGTAGCAGTCTGACCTCCTCTAATCTCTATACAGTATATAAAGTTACAGAATCAAAAGACATTTAAGCAATCTACACAGGTTAGAAGAAAAAAGGTGATAAGGTTAATGTGACATAGTTTCAATTACAATTTCACTAGCCACATCACAAAAACATTACAACATATTCATCTACTTTAATACCCAAAATGAAAGAAAAAAAAAGACATTATATTGGCCTATTTCTTCTTATACATACGAGTCCAAGTTTCCCATAGAGAAAAAGGAATGTACTTATAATTAGCTATGCATCATCATCATCACCTTCTTCAGTCTTTACTCTAACAATATTGAGTAAATTATATGTAAAAAACATGTCGAAATTAGATCTCTTACGATCTAAAATATAAGAAGATTTCTTAAAACTTACCCCAGTAAAAAAGAAAAAAAGTAATCATCATCATCATCAAGCTTTCAAGCTCTGGTCTTGAACTTTCTTTGAGCCTTCAAGTCAACCACAATGATGGAGATGTTGTCTTTGCTTCCTTTCTGAAGAGCAAGGACTGAGAGGTACTCAGCCGCTGCTTGGCAAGCTGGATCTGTTCCTTTGCCTCTCTCTGCTAGAGGAGGTGCACCGTGCTTCTTATGCCACATCAAGATTCTTTTCCTCGCTACTTCACAGACTTCTTGGTTGCTCATTACATCCCAAAGACCATCACTGGCTATTATTAGACAATCGTCTTCTCTTGACCTCGGCATGAATGTAACTTCCGGGTCAGGGATCACGTATGGCTTCAGGTATCTGTCACCTGCAATAATGGTCCAGAGGAGGAAACACACACACAACGAGGATCTAATGTTTCTTGAAGGTATAGTTTTGGTGATGTGCTAAAGATGATATTAATAAGCCAACTCATAACATACTCATAGATGCATTAGTGGTAATCAAGAGAAGCATTGCTTACCAAGGGACCTAGACATGGCGAGAACACCAAATACACGAGCGCCTTGCCATTGTATAACCTTCCCTCCAGCATTTTCTATTCTCGCATATTCATCCTCTCTATCTGGCTGCAAGAAACAAGAAAGAGGCGTCAAGAATTCATCAGGTCTTGTCTAGAAAACCAAAAAGAAAGAAGTTCAAATATTACTTTGTGATCAACTGATAAGGGCATGGCTTCTTTGCCACGGTATAAAACCGCCCTTGAATCACCGCAGTTAGAAACCACTAAATGTGATGAACAAACCAAAGCAACAACAGCAGTTGATCCTACAGTCTCAGAGGCAACAGCCTCAAGAACCATCTCAGAAGAACCAACAGAAGCAGCTCTACCGATTTTTCCTTCAATCTCACCATCAACGTTTAGAAAACAGCTAGTAAAGACTTTCTCCCACTGGACCTGCCTGCCCTCTCCAGTGTTCCTCTTGCATAACTCGTCTTTAATGCGTTCAATCTCTTCAGCCAAAGCAAAATGGAGTCTATCTCGGCAATAATCAGCAACCTATAAAAGCCATAATACATTTTAATAACCTCTATCACTAAGTATTTTGAACAGAGGTATTGTGATTATAGCATACCTGATAGCCTCCATGACCATCATAAACACCGAAGAAATGACCAGTGAGGTGAGTGAGACTTGGACTCATACCCTCATGATCTCCCATAAGCATTTTGATAGGTAACTTCAAGAAATGAGGTAACACAGCAACAGCATCCTCCATCTCAGATCTATTACCTTGAATGGAAACCGTTCCCCAAAGAGGGATACAATCTAACTCATAGACGCTTCTCCCTCTCGCCACAAGATTATTATTACTACTTTCTTCTGGCAACCTAATGACAACCTCAGAAGCTGTCACACCTGAACCATCTTCAACCTTTGTGTCCTGAATAAGAACTTCAGCTGTAGGAACCTGCTCTATGCTAGACTCCCCTAGGATAATGGCCTTAGCTAGAACTCTACCGTTTTCTATCTCCATTGCTCTGAGTTCAGATCCAGCATCAACAACTAGTAAGCCTTCACTTATGACAGCACTAGTATCCTCCACAACAGATAACACATCCTCTTCATCCCCAACACTTGCATCACAGTCATTATTACACCCTTTCTTAGTTTCTGCCTCTTCTGCATCTTCCATGGTGGAATCAGGTAACAAGTCAGCTGAATCAGTAACGTTTTTGAGCTGAGTGATATCCACAGGTGATGAGTCACATATAGAGTTAGCTAAGCTTAAAGTCACTGCAACAGCTGGAGTCATCTCCTCCATCACCTTTAGAGAAAAATATTAAAAACAACTTTTTGGAAACGAATTGTTTTTTTTTTTCTCTTCTTTTGCTTAAGACCATTCAATAGTTCTCATCTTCTTGGACTTCTCTAAGCAATGATTAATCATCTTCTCTTCCATCAGAGATGAAACAGATCTGAAAGGGAGAGTAACGGATCCTCTTGTCTCTTTCTTTCTTCCACCCTAATCACAAGAAAGGCCTAAACATTAGAATCAATAACATATTGAATCATTACAGAACATGGATGTTTCTGGATCTAAGTAATAAAAAAAAACCAGCTTCTTCAGAACCAAGAAAATAAATAGACATTTTATTTTAAAAAAAAGAAAGAAAAAAGTAATTAAACTTTGGTATTAAGAAACTAAAAACACCAAAGAGAACTTACGAAAGAATAAAAGAGAGATTCATAGCATATAAATCATCATCTCTATAATAACAGGAATAAATATAAAAGAGAACTTACTAGTTTTCTGAATCTTCTAAAGAAGCAAATTCTAATTTGAAAACAGAGTAAAGAAGGACCTTCTTCTTCTTCTTCTTTTGTTTTTCGCTTCCTTGTGCTTCGGCTTAAAGAGAGAGACTCTCTCTTTTTCTATCAAGCGAAAGAAAGAAGACGAAGAAGAAGAGAGAGAAGGGGGAATATTGTGTGGTTTGCTCTTTTTTCTCTCTGTGTTTTTTTTCTTTAAATGATTTTAATAAATAAAGAGTATTTGTTTATTTATTTATTAAAACAGAAAAAAAGGATTAAAGAAGGGACACGTATACACAAGTCCTTTTTGTTCTCCTTTTTGTCCTTGTCTTTCTTAAGGTCACTTCAGCCAACACCTGTCGATCTACCAACAGCACCTATTATTTCTCTTTCTTTCTTTTTCCCCTCTATTTTACATTCTTTTAGAAAAATCAAATAAATATGTTTTACATTATTTTTATTTTTGAATAAGATAATAACTCTGAATTCTTTGTAAATAATCCCTCTTTTGTTAGATATATTTCACCAGGTAAAGTTTATGAAAGTTTTCCACCGAGTCTTGACGCGTAGATGCATGCATGATACTAAATGGATGAATAGATAACATTTGGTTAAATGAATTAACTACGGATAAGTGAGATTTAATTAAACAATCTTATTATGGATTTATCATGACATGTATATGCATGTATTAATTAAAAAAAAAAACTGTATGAGATATGTGAACGAATGAAATCATGCGCGTTGATATTTTGATACATATGTCATTTCAGTTATTCATCGTAATGGTTACACATATGAAATCTATAAAGAGTTTCTTAATCCCTCTTTTGTTAAACATGTGTTAATAGGAAACTAGTTCTTCTTGTTAAAAATATAAAAGGTTTCTACCAAGTCTCGACGCGTAGACGTGTACATTGATTGTAAATAGAGATTATAAGATGAAAAGATGACTTTTGGATAAATGAATCCAACTTATTATGGATTAAATAATGACATGTGTATGAAGGCCCTTTCTCAAACAAACAAAAAAACTGACATGTGTATGAATGTATTAGTTCTAAATAATTCTCAGAATTTGTATTAATTCTAAATACAACTATATGAGATGAACAGATATGGATTATGGAATGTGATGGTCTTGACAAAAAAAAGAGATAGAATGTGATGGTATGATAAGATATGTAAATGAATGAAAATATTTTATAACATACACAAATATATATGTATTTTTCGACTGTATATATTATATGTTGAGAACGATATAATATCACAATATTTTTTAATAAAATTTTAATCCTTAACTTGTCCTTCTCTTATTTGGTTAATCAGGGGCTAAAATTCATAATACTCAATGTATAATGAAATCAAATAATTCAGGATGTTTATACGGATCTCATTGCACCCGCATAAACCCATCAATGACACCACAGATAAACCTTGTACCACCGTAAGTAATGCCTACTTTGTCTGATTTATAACTATTCTCCAACATCGGTTTGAGAAATCACAGAAGAAAAAAGGTTGTGTTAGATGGCCCTAAAAATCACTTCTCAAAGGAATCCATTCGTCACATATGCATTATAATTACTAAATGGTCAAAACTTATAAGTTCTATTGCAACCTGTCTATTATTGATAGAATTCTTTTTTTTTTGTTCCACTATATACACTCTTAGGAAGTTGTCCATATATACAAGGTAAGAATAACACCAATTATTGTTACCAGCAATGGAAAAATTCACACAACACTCGTGCCTTTAATGGTTTGTCTTAAAACTAATCATGTTCTGAGAGACGTATACGAAATGGTGAGAAGTTGGAAGACGACAACTGAGAGAAAACAATATATATTTACCTTTTTATTTTCTTTTTTTTTGGCTCTGTAAATGAGAAAATGCAACGTGTTTTTGTCTTTATGAAAGTGAATGACTTCGCAATTATTTCGATTTCTACCTGCCCATGTGGCTATCTGATTGATCCAGGACGAAAAAAATCAAAATGTTGGTGATGTTTATCAATGAGTCTCCTCATCAATAGTGTTGGGTAAATACGACTGTGGATTGCTGTGGACTAAGTTTAAGTTTCATTTGGCAGTATGGATATGAGTTTGCCAAAAATAAGAAATCTCTCTATAAATAATAATTGAGAAGTCACTTTTGTACATCGCGTTTACAGTTAATTTTTGATGATCAATTACATTGTATCCAAAACTCAAAATTTTTAGTTCAAAAGAACTATTAGATAACCAGGACGCGTTAGTCTGATGGTGAACGGCTTCCAGTTGCAAGTACGGCTCCGGGTTCAATTCGTACTGGTCATCGAGGCTTTCAAATGGGTTTTTCGACCCGAGGAGAACAACACGTGGTCTGGGGTACTAAACCGAGTCCTCACCGAAGACTTTAAGCCTACCACATAACTAGTCTAGACCACATAAATGGGGCCATGATACTCCTCGTAAATAACAAAAAAAAGAACTATTAAATCGTAACCTAAAACGCAACATACTATTATGGGAAATTAGACCAAATAGCTAAGAAAAAAAACATATTTAAGTATCTAACAAAAAAAATGTCATCATTATTTTTATATTATATACCATATTATCCTTGTATATCCTTAGTCCGGTCACTAAAATCTCAAATACTTTCTCTTGAATTATCAATCATCATTATTGTCGAGAAGGTAAATACAATTCATTTTCAAATATACCATTCTATTTAAAATTTTCACTAATACATATTATACTATCAAGTTTGTTATATCTACTCTATTAAAATATAGTTATTTTTTATTTACTGATACAAGTTGTCAATTAAATTTGGACCATTTCTAGAGTGTTAAAAATATGTAACACAGACCATATAATTAACTGAACTGCATTACTTAAATTAAACCGATGATTATTTATGAGATATAGTCTTGGACTTACTTTTGTTTTTAGAACAAATTATATAGTTTTGTTTTTGGGCATAGTACTAAATAAAAACTCCAAAAAACATAGAATCAACTTTCCACAAGAATAGATAAAAAAATCAATTATTATTTTTACGCCCAAAAGGTATTTAATATTTTTAATTAAAACAAAATTTATCTATTATTACTCATTTATTTAAAACATGTACTTTAAAACATGTTAATGTATTTTTTATTTTAAATAACAATCACTTTATTTTGATAAATTTCAATGGTATTTAAATAATTTATTGTTTTATTTTTTTTAAAAAATTTACTGATTTAAAAAAATGTAAAGCAAAACCAAAAACCAAAACTAAAAACAAAAATCAAAACCAAAAGCTGAAAACACAAGTTATATTTTTTTGCTTTTTTTTTATTTACAAAATAAACTATTGCAAATTGTTTTGTCATCTATTCAGTTTTAAATTAGATGTTTGATTATTTAGGATTTGTTTGTTGGTAACATTAGTTCAAACTAATTCAACGGTCTAAAAATTAAATACACAAACCAAAAGTTGAAAATCAAAAGTAGAAACTTAAAAACAAAAAAAACAAAAACCAAAAACCAAAATCTAAAACAAAATCTAAAAATAAAAACTGAAACTAAAAACTAATGAAAAACAATCATCATCACAAATTTTGGTGAACTGATTTTATACCAAAACATTCTTTAAATTAAGATAAAACCCAATTATATAAATTTTTAATGATAAAAAATTTTCGCGCTTTTAATCGCGGGTCAAAATCTAGTACTATTTATTATCTATGTTATAAAGGATTATTGGTTCTTACATAAGCCACGTCCGTCACTTCCTTTATATCCAAGTTTGTTTTTCAATTTTTTTTTTACTGTGTACTGCACGACACAAAATTATAATCGAAAAAAGAGAGAAGAAAGTGTTATCCACTTAATTATGTCATATCAATAGTTATATTCTTAATATTGATCCTAAAACTGATTAGTTAGCAAATTTTCCCTATTATTATTATATGTTTCTAGTCTTATACAAAAAAAAAAAACTAAAAGGCTAGTTCTACAAATCAAGATAGGAAAACCAACTTAATGTTTGGTAATGCGCAAACCGGAATTCGTTTGATTCGAACCGATAGCAACTTCCCAAAATAACATTTTCTAAATATAAGTTTAAGTGTTTGTTCACAAGACTGTTGAGTCGTTTGAAAAAATAACCCTTCAAAATTAGCAAAGAGGCAAAACCACTCAAGCTTCTTCATTCACAATAATAAAAGCGAATTAGTTTCTTTATAGTTCTTTGTTTCTTCTCAGAAGTTGCAGAGCCATAAGAAAGAAAACAAACACTATCGGTTTTGGGTTTTTAAGATGTTAAATGATAAATTGATTAGTATCATTGTTTGTTTATAAAACACGCTATTCAAGTTTCTTGTGTAGCAAGTCTTTAACATGTCCCCAAGAAGACTAGATAATGGCATAATCACGGTGATAGCCATTGATAAAGACAAGAACAGCCAACACGCGTTGAAATGGGCGGTTGAGAACATTCTTGGCGATTCTCCACACTGTGTTCTTCTCCACGTTGAACCTAAAGGCATGTCTCAAATCTTTTACCTCTCATTCTCTCAACATCAAAAACAACAATGTCAACAGAACTCTCTAATGAGGTCATCTATCTTGCAGAAGGAGCACATTTACAACATGACAATCAAGACGAGGGGCATCAGTTCTTTCTTCCTTTCAGAGGCTTCTGCACTAGAAAAGGAGTTAGTAGTCAATCTCTAAATCTCCTTTATTGCAACACATCACTTATGATCATTACTTATTACATCAAACTGCTTGTTCAGATTATTCCTAAGGAGGTTCTTCTTAGAGAGATTGACATATCCAATGCTATTGTCAACTACATTACAAACAATACCATTTCAAATATAGTTGTTGGCGCATCTTCTTACAATGCCTTCTTCAAGTCTTCCTCTCTATATTCTCATGCTCAATGATATCAACTTTGGTTGTAAATGAATGCTAACATTAGTCCCTGTCTGTGATCAGGAAGTTTAAGAGTCCAGATGTGCCCACCACTCTGCTTAAAACATCTCCAGAGACTTGTGCAGTCTTTGTTGTGTCAAAAGGTAAGCTGTTAAAAAGCAAATCCGCGAGTCAGGCTCTGAAACATCATCCCATACAGCAAACTCTCTCCACTTTGTTGTATAATAATGAGCCAACGAGCTCCATTTATTCAAGTGATTCAGAGAGGTACATTCTCAACTCTCTTCCAACCACTATCTAACTATGGTCTGTCTTTTCAATAGTGTCGTGTTTGGTTTACATTTTGACAGGGAATCATTTGCATCTACCCAACACAGCAAACCCATGTCAGATTTCTCCCAATCCAGTTCACCACCGCAAACTCCGAGTGAGTTTTCTCAGTCAGATACTGACACTGGAAGTTATGGTATGGTATCAACTGTGACTTCTTACACCATATCTCAAAGTTCCACTACCAACGGAAGCTCCATCTCTTCTACATCCACGGTTAGTATCATCACACTCAGATATAAGTTTTTGTCCTTTTCAGTTTCTTGCTATGTTCTGACATTTCCTTGATGAAATAAACTAATGCACAGGAGAGTCCACATGCGGTAACTTTCATGGAACAACAGGTAATGTGTTTAAGAACATCAAAATCTTAAACTGTCAGCATAGTATTTGACATGGTGTATGTTCTTTGTGATGTGTTTTCACAGAATCAAAATCTTGAAGCAGAGGTGAGGAGATTGAGACAAGAACTGAAGCAGTTTAATCACTCAAACAACAAAGAAAGTGTAAGTTGTTTCCTACCCTGTCTCTTCTTTAGATTCTTGGTGGATGAAGACTTAACAAGATATTGCATTATGTAGTCTCAAGAACATCAACTACCTAGAGCCAACCAAATTCGAAGGTTAGACCAAACTATAGAGCTGCCTAGAGCATTATCTGAGGAGAATCAGAAAAGGCTTTCAGCAATCCAAGCAGCTGAAATCGCAAAGCAGTTAGCGAAATTGGAGAGCCAAAAGAGAAAATTACTGGAGATGCAAGCCAAGCTGGAGAAACAAAGATTGGCCAGTAACGTCTCATACAGACGTTACAGTATCAAAGATGTTGATGGTGCTACCAATGGCTTTTCAGATGCTTTAAAGATTGGTGAAGGAGGTTATGGACCTGTGTACAAGGCTGTCCTTGATTACACTTCTGTCGCCATCAAAATCTTGAAGTCTGGTATCACACAAGGCCTGAAACAATTCCAACAAGAGGTAAGTAAGTATAATCATAATCTGAAATTCTTGTGTGTTCTGTCTCTTAACTCATCATACATATGTCTTTACTAGATTGAGGTTTTGAGTAGCATGAGACATCCTAATATGGTGATCCTCCTTGGTGCATGCCCTGAGTATGGTTGTCTTGTATACGAGTACATGGAGAATGGAACACTTGAAGATCGTCTCTTCTGCAAAGACAATACACCTCCACTTTCGTGGAGAGCAAGGTTCAGGATCGCTGCTGAGATTGCCACAGGGCTTCTTTTCCTTCACCATGCGAAACCTGAGCCGTTAGTTCATCGTGATCTGAAGCCAGCAAACATTCTACTCGACAGACATTTCACTAGCAAGATCAGTGACGTTGGTCTAGCTCGTCTAGTACCTCCCTCGGTGGCTGATAGCTATAGTAACTATCACATGACCTCTGCAGCCGGTAAGAATCTAAACTTCCAATGTCTTAACATGGAACCACAGTGTTGATGTTAGTTTTTCCTTCAGGTACATTTTGTTACATCGACCCTGAGTATCAGCAAACAGGATTGCTTGGAGTGAAATCTGATCTCTACTCTTTTGGTGTGGTTCTTCTGCAAATCATAACAGCAATGCCAGCAATGGGTTTAGGCCATAAAGTAGAGATGGCGGTTGAAAACAACAAACTCAGAGAACTTTTAGATCCAACAGTAACAGACTGGCCTGAGGAAGAGACTCTGGAGTTGGCTAAATTGGCTTTACAGTGCTGTGAGTTAAGGAAAAGAGACAGACCTGATCTTGCTTCAGTAGTGTTACCGGCATTGAATAGGCTAAGAGAGTTTGCAAGAGAGGATCATGAACGTATACAGAACAGAACATCTCATGTATCACAATCTAACTATTCAGCTCCAGTTCCTTCCTCTCAGGTTAGTTTCTTAGAACCATTCTGCTTGTTTGCCACACACATCAACTAGAATCTAGACGTTAGTTGATCAAGAGACATATAAACAAACCTATTGAGTATTGACAGAAATGAAAAACATGGCCGTAGATTAGCAGGAAGCCAATTCTGGGAGTAGTAGAGAACCACGAAGATCCTGATCAGTTAAAGACGCGTAGTCATTCAGTACCAAAAAGAAGTGGACGACCTCCAAGATCAGAAAGAAGTAGCCAGTACAAAGGCAACCGTTGGTCTTTTATGAGTTGTGCCCCGTCCAAAAGTTCAATGGAGTGATCTCCCTTAACAATATATTATGTAACATATTTTTATAGTCTTTTAAGTCATGTAAAATGAAACTGTTCTTAAAGAAGATTTGTTTATTATTGGAGTATACATTTTAACTTTGAAAAGGTTTGATACTTGAGGACATTGGTTGTTGTTACATAAAAGTCTAATATCTCAATAGAAGGAACACTAAGATAATACTTTCTGAAACAAAATAAGTAACAGAGCTGCCAAGATCCATACAAGAATCAGGATATGAGCTTTTAACACACTGACATATAAACCACAAAACATACTTCATGTCAGATCCCACATCACTACTTGGGACATCTCCTGGACAATGCTTAAGAGCAGAAGACAACCACGAGAGGAACATGGATACACAATCTTTGAGGATCACTATCATCTATAGTCATTATTCTTATTACAATCAAGAGTCAAGAAAGTGAAACAGTGAGAGACAATAAGGACAAGTACAAGAATAGGCATAAACTTAACAAAAGAAAAGAGTTCCATTTGAAAGACTGATACAACACATATAAAGATCAAACATTAGCAATACGCAAAGAAGACTTAACTTATCAGACAGTAAACTATCATCAAGAACCAATACAATTCTTGATAGTGTCATCATCATATAAATAAAAAAAGGTTTGTTATTCAAAGTTTTCATCTTTATGATTCCAAACTCAACATCTCTCTCTCTCTCCCTCCCTATCAAAAAATATTCCAAAAAGCAACAATCTTTCTCTCTTCATCATCAAATGGGCACATACCGCTTCACAACTTGCTTCCCAGCAACAACAACCCCAGCAGCCAAACCACCAAGCGCCCCCGCCACAGCCGCGGATCTCACCCCACGCGCGGCTCTAAAAACCGCACCAGTCCCAAGACCAGCGACCACACTAGTCCAAACATCATCCCTATCCAACGCAGCCACAACACCACTCTCAATCCCAGCGTACATCAACCCAATGATCCCAACCCTATTCCCCCAAGTCCTCCCCGTGTGACCAGAAGAGTTCAAGATCCTGTTGATCTTCAGCTTCGTCGTGTCGCCGGATTCGAAGTTCTTGACTCCGGAGAAGATCCCCACCGTGGCGCCGCCTACAGAGCCGCCGAGGTAAGCTGTGCCTGTGTAGAAGGTGAGATTCTCTCCCCAGGTGCGGCGTTGCTTTAGGGATTCCTCTGTGAAGAGGTATTCGGGGGAGGTGGGGAGCTTGTAGAGGTATTGTGATTTGATTGGGACTTCGAAGTTTTGGTAAGGGTTGTAGAGACGTGTGTTGTTGTTCTCGTCTGTGTCGTGATCGGAGGATCTGTTGTTGTTGTTGTTCGCCGCCATCGGAGATAAATGTTTTGTGATGTTGCTTTTCTCCTCCGTTGCGGAAAATAGAAATGAGAGGAAAGGAAAGAGTTTTAGGGTTTTTTGACTTATTATTAAAGTAACTATTTTGTTAGTGTTGTTCTGTCAGAGAGACCAGACACGTTCCAGTTGTTTCTAGATTTGATTTAATTCGAATTTGACCCTATAGTTCTTTGGTTTATCAATTAGACCCAATTTTTTTTTTTGTTCTTTTTGGCTTTCGCTTGCCACAAGCTGTGGAGTACTGATGTTTGTAATTTGACCCAGAAGTTTAGTTTTGTACAAATATAGCCAATTTAAGTTGTAACATTGAAAAGTTCAATATGTTATGTTACGTTCGTATTTGCTTGCAACTAATAGTGACAACTGATGACAACCAACAATAACCAATTTTGCGCTTGGGTTCGTTCAGATTTTTTTTTTCTTAAAAACAAATCATTTACTTGATTAAAATTTATATTGGTTTGGTTTAGTTTAAACGAGTTTAGATAAAAAAATTTAAAAAATAAAAACTAACGAATTCTATTGAACATTATAAATTTTAAATATACCAGTAATATAATGAAATATTACTTCTTAGTTTTAGAATTTTTTCCACAAATAATAACAGTTGTTAAAATTTAATTATCTTTAAAATTTAAATCAACTCATGAACTATTTTTATTTTGGAAATGAGGCAAATATACATTATGTTAGAGTATGTATCAAACACTCAAAATAATTTTTTTAACAAACAAGAGTTTTTAAAAAAAAGATATTTATTGTGAAATCGAGATGATTTTTTTTAAAAGGAAATTGGGTTATTTCGCTAATTTAGTTAATTCAGTTTTAACAAAATGTAGATTCGGTTCGGTTTCGGTCCGGTTTAGAATCTTGCAAAGCCCTAACCTCACCGAAGTCTAAAAAAATGAGCCTAAACTCCTGAGAGGGAGGAGAGCCAAAAAGATCCGAAATAGCCGGCGAAGGTTACGGCGACGTCGTAATCCGATTAGACACGAGGGGTAAAAATGGGAAACCAGAAATTAAAATGGACGGTGGATGAAGAGGACGCCTTACGCGCCGGAATTGAAAAACACGGCCCCGGAAAATGGAAGAACATTCTCCGTGATCCCGACTTCGCTCATCGTCTCAACAATCGCTCCAACATTGACCTAAAGGTGCCTCCTTTTTGCTTCTTTCTTCACCACATTGACACCAAGATTGGTTTTGATTGATCAAGTTTACAACTTGTTGAACCCTATTGCTTTGAGTAGTTGTAGCTTTTGTGGTGGAAAGATTGTTACTTTCAATCTTCTTAATGGCTTTGAACAAGAATCTTAGAGTTTATGTTAGGTGGAAAGAATGTTACTTTTCAATCTTCTTGATTAGAATCCAGAGTTTATGTATGTGTGTCTTTAAATGCTTATTGCTTAGGCAATCTTTAGTTGAGTATATAGAGCTTTGAGGTGTAAAGAACGTTACTTTCAATCATTTGTTTGTCCCTTTACGTGATTAGAAGATTTGCAATGGCTTTGAACAAGAATCTTAGAGTTATGTTACTTTTAATCTGAGTTATGTTACTTTTAATATGATTAGAAGTTGAGTTATTCAAAATGTTATGTTCCTTTTAATCTGAGTTATGTTACTTTTAATCTGAGTTGTGTTACTTTTAATCTGAGTTATGTTACTTTTAATCTTAGAGTTATGTTACTTTTAATATGATTAGAAGTTGAGTATGTCACTTTTAATCTTCTTGATTAGAATCTTGAGTTTATGTGTGTGTGTGTGTGTGTTTCAATGCTTTTTTTTTTGTTTGTTAGGATAAGTGGCGGAACTTGTGTGTTGCTCCGGGTACGCAATGCTTAAAGGATAAGGCGAGAACAACGACAAAGTTCAAAGAAGAAGGCGTTACTCTGGCTTCACTTGCAGCTACTCCACTTCCTAACTCTTCTGCTTCTTCTTCGCCAGCTACTTCTCTTCCACGTAGTGCTTCTTCTGAGTTTGGGGTTGATAACTTTGGCGTTGATAACAAGAACGCTCCCAGGTTTGTCTTTGTTTCAAAGAGGGATACTCTATCAATCCGAAGTATTGATCTTTAATAGATTAATTCGTGCAGTTCTGAATGAGTTGCTATTTTTAGGTATGACGCGATGATATTTGAAGCTATCTCTGAGTTAGCGGATGCGAATGGTTCTGATGTCGGTTCCATCTTCAGCTTCATCGAGGTTAGAGACATGTTTCTCTTTCCTCTCTACGTTTTGCATTGATTAGAAGTCAGAACCTCATTGTGTACTTTTATTTTCACATTGTAAAACTGTATATACATTTACTTTTGCAAATGGCTTATTTGTTACTTGAGGTCTACATGTAAGTTTCACCATATTGGTCATGATAACATTACTTCCTTGGTCTGTGAATCCATGTATTTAGTCTCCATCTGCCACTTGTTGCTGATGTTTTCATGCATAGAACAGTATTTGCTTTATCATGACTCATGACGTAGGAAGATGTACACTATATGCCTATCTGAAGAAATGTTGTAGTTAGTGATCCTGATTTTACTAAAGTTGGGGTCACTCTCTGTTATTTTTTTTTTTTATATCCCTAGCTGCTACAACCTTTCCTAATGGACCATGTTGTTTACTGTGGGCGAAATACAGTCAAGGCATGAAGTGCCGCCAACATTTAGAAGAGTCCTAAGTTCAAGACTGAGGAGGCTAGCAGCTCAGGGAAAACTTTCCAAGGTTAGCAACTCAAAACCTGTAAGTCTTGAAGCACGCCTCTCTTTTTTCTCTGTCACATATTCTTTATAAAATTCACATACAAAACCATCTTCATAAATGATCTCCTCCATATCTGTCTGAGCCAATTGAGTAAACAAATGCATGTGTTCAAGCTTCTTTGATCTAATGTTATGTATAAAAGAAACCCGCTAGCTTCATCATGTTTCTTTAAAGCCATCTTATTTTTTCATGCCATGTCCTCTTTTTTTTTCTAATCTTCTAAACTATTATCTTGTTTAATTCCAACCCTCAACAGTTACTGAACTTCTACAAGCTACCAGATCGATCAGAAACAACAACAAGAACAACTCCTACCCCAAGACTAAAGGAGACAAACATAAAACCCCGGCAGTCAAACAATCAACCTCCTGCAGTGTCACAAGAGATGATCGACGAAGCAGCAATAACAGCAGCATGTAAAGTCGTAGAAGCAGAGAATAAAATAAATGTAGCCAAAGTAGCAGTGGAAGAGTTGGAGAAGACGACTAAGCTTGCAGATGAAACTGATCTTCTACTGAAGTTAGCGAAAGAGTTACATGAACAATGTAAAACGCCAAGACTTGCCCCATTTTTCTTTTCTCATTCTTTCCTTCACAGGAGACGAGAAGCAAGCTTAACAAAAAGTTATATGTTATTGTTTTGTAGGTTGTCGCGGCGAGGTAGTGGTCCTGGCTTGAGTCTATGGGGACATAGTCTCTACATTCAGCCTTAGGTTCATAACACTCTTCAGACCAGAGTTGAAGACTTTGGTTTAGTTGTTGTTGATATATATATTAAAGATAAAAGAAGAAGAGTCAATTTTCAGGAGGCGCGACTCTGTTTTTGTGAGTAATTTTAGAGGCTTCTCATATACATAAACATACACTATTAGTGAGAGATTTGCTCTTTTGTCATGAATTCTTATTTTTGAATAGAGTTTACTGTTTTTGAGAGAAAAGTAAATTATTCGAATAATAAAAAAAAAAAAAAAACAATCTTATTCTAAGTGGGACCCGGACTAATGTCTGAAAAGAAACAGAGAGGAAAAGTCGGTAACTTAGGAGGGTAAAATCGGAAAAGGGATATTAATGTTGTTTCCTTTTCCTACTAAGTAAACCTAAAAAGATTAAAAAAAGTAAATTAAAAAAAAAAACTGGGGAGCTATATAAAGCAGTCATTATCAACAGTTCTTCTTCAACTCCACGGCGCAGATCCGAGGAGTTTTTTGCTTTGAATCTTTCGTCTCTCTCTCTCTGTCTCTTCTTCAATTCTGCAAATAACAGGTTTGTTTGAATCTCTCTCTCACTCTCTATTTCCCTTTATATGTTTCATGTTTTGGATTATCGTTGTGTCTTATTGAATAAATAGGTTTTGTTACTATTGTATTCATATGAATCTACAATTGTAGATTTTTCAGTGTGACTTGTTTTGGTTTTGATTGATTCCTTGGATTCTGCAATCCACATTACGAAGAAAGATTGATTCAAAGTCTTAATCTTTTTATATAAAAATTGAATTTTTTTTTTTTTTTTATTTGGTTATAAATTGAATGTTCTTTGGTTGGTTCTTTTGTTTCAATGTCGTTTTGTTTCTCTAGTCATGGCAGGAATGGCATCTGAAGGAACACAATATGATCCTCGTCAGTTTGATACTAAGATGAATGCCTTGTAAGTTCTCATCTACCTAATCAAAATCTCTAAGTGTAACCAAAATTGCTACTAAGTTGTATGATGTTTTTGCAGACTCGGTGAGCAAGGAGAAGAAACTTTCTACACGACTTATGACGAAGTCTGTGATAGCTTTGATACTATGGAACTCAGGTCTGATCTTCTCAGGGGTATCTATGCCTACGGTACGTTCTTTTAGCTCAATATCACTCTTCAAAACAAACTCATTGTGATCTTCTCATTATCTTCTTTCTGTTAACTGAATATGTGTTAGGTTTTGAGAAGCCTTCTGCTATTCAGCAGAGAGGAATCATTCCATTCTGCAAGGGTCTTGATGTGATCCAACAAGCTCAATCCGGAACCGGAAAGACCGCTACCTTCTGCTCTGGTGTTCTGCAGCAGCTTGATTACACTCTTGTTCAGTGCCAAGCTCTCGTTTTAGCCCCTACCAGAGAGCTAGCTCAGCAGATTGAAAAGGTTATGAGAGCTCTTGGTGACTACCTCGGTGTCAAGGTTCACGCCTGTGTTGGTGGAACGAGTGTCCGTGAAGATCAACGTATTCTCCAGTCTGGTGTTCATGTTGTTGTTGGAACACCTGGCCGTGTCTTTGACATGTTGCGTAGGCAATCTCTCCGCGCTGATGCCATCAAGATGTTTGTTCTTGATGAAGCTGATGAGATGCTCTCTCGTGGTTTCAAGGATCAGATATACGATATCTTTCAGCTTCTTCCTTCCAAAGTTCAGGTTGGTGTTTTCTCTGCAACGATGCCACCTGAAGCTCTTGAGATCACAAGGAAGTTCATGAACAAACCTGTTAGGATCCTTGTCAAGCGTGATGAGCTTACTCTTGAAGGTATCAAGCAGTTTTACGTGAATGTTGACAAGGAAGAGTGGAAGCTGGAGACATTATGTGATCTCTACGAGACGCTAGCCATCACTCAGAGTGTTATCTTTGTGAACACGAGGCGTAAGGTTGATTGGTTAACTGATAAAATGAGGAGCCGTGACCATACTGTCTCAGCTACACATGGAGATATGGATCAGAACACAAGAGACATCATCATGCGTGAGTTCAGGTCTGGTTCTTCTCGTGTACTCATAACCACTGACCTCCTTGCACGTGGTATCGATGTTCAGCAAGTCTCTCTGGTGATTAACTTTGACCTTCCAACGCAACCGGAGAATTACCTTCACCGTATTGGAAGAAGTGGAAGGTTTGGGAGGAAGGGAGTGGCGATTAACTTCATGACAACGGATGATGAGAGGATGTTGTCTGATATTCAGAAGTTTTACAATGTGGTCGTTGAGGAGTTGCCTAACAATGTTGCTGATCTTCTCTGAGTCTTTACTGTTGCCGCGGCTTGGTTATTTCTTCTTTTTTTTTACCTAGTAACTGCTCATTTTAACCTTCTTTTTGGTAAAATGAGATGAAAACTCATCTCATGACTTCTTTTGTTTTGTTGGCACTCAAGATTTTCGGTTTAATGTTATGACTTTTTTGTTAACGTGACTCACAAGGATTGTTTGTTACTTCTCTAGTATATCATCATCTCAAATTCATCTAGATAATTTTTAACACTAATTTGTTCTTTTATTACATATTGAAGATTATTACATGTCGATTTTACAACCGATAACTTTATATATCTTATGAAGATTATATACGACGGTTCTATATATACCACCAAAAAAACGTTTATAAAGTTCATATGACAGTTTACCATACATCACATTCTTTGGACTCAAAACATGAATCTTTTTGTATAAAAGAATTAAAGAACATTTTGTCAAACTATTCGACTTAAAAGCTTCAACAACAGTTGAGTCGAGCTTTTGTTTTGGATCTTGTCTCTTTATCTTAAGATGTTTTGTTCTTTCTAATAAAATATGCAAATCAAACTCTTGTATAATTTGGTTGATTTAGTTTGGCCAAAGTAAATAACTATTTAGAATTTGGGTAGGAGTCCCAAAAACTCTCTCGAACTCATAAAGTAAGAAGCAGTAGCCATGTGTAATGCAAGATCTTACAAAATTTTCTTAGGAAGAATAAAACATACGAGGTTCTCTAGTAATTAATCTCTAATAAATTTTTTTAAGTAAATCAGTTTAGCAAACGACAAAAACTTATCTCATCTAACCAGTGACCACGAACCTTCCTTCAGATGTTGAGGTTTGTAAATTGTAATTACGAGACTAAAAATGTATGTACAATAATACTTTCATGTTCTATATAATAATACATATGCCAAAAATACTTATAAGAGACAAAAAGCAGAAGAGAAAGAGGTTGGAGATAAACGCCAAAATTAACTCTCCTTTTCTTTCTTCATAAAAGAACAGTGCCAACTTCTTGGGGCTGTTGTTGCAAAGTGAAGAGATGTTTAGATCCAAGTCATGCAGAGAAGAGATCAGAAGAAACAAGTACCAATGCTTAACTAGTAATGGAGAAGCAGCACCAAGTCCAACAAAACAGCAGCCTCCAGTGATGATGAGATCTTACAGTACATCAAGTTATAGTCCATACAAGAATCCAACGAAGGTGAGAGACAGTCCCAACAGTAAATCAAAGAGAAGCAATAAGAAAGGGTACAAGGGTTTGTGTGAGGCAGAGATTCAGAGGAAGAGGAGAGTGGCTGCTTATAATGTGTATGGTGTTGAAGGGAAAGTGAAGGGGTCTATGAAAAAGAGCTTCAAATGGTTCAAAGAGACTTGTTCTAATGCTGTCTATGGTTTGTGGTGATCTGATGGAGATATTCTGCATAAGGAAAAGACTAGTAATCACGTACGGTATCTCAGGAACTTATCTTAATCACGCAATAATCATGTTTAAATAAGAGCGAGAGACACAAGGCAAGCAAAGTGGTAGGTTAATTGTTTAAGTTGTAAACTGAAGGGCAAATACTTAAATAAATCTAATCTCTGTGATGTCTTTTTCTTTTCATCAGTTCTTACCTCTCTTTCAAGATTCAACAACAAACTCTCTCCTCCTTTATCAGCCAACTTTTGCTGTTAGTAACTGGATGTTATGGTTGTTTGTAACAAGAGATTTAGGCTTGAATCGTTTAAAAGCTAATGATAAATTAACAGTGACCATGATTTAAGGCTTTAATTGCATTGACAATGTACTTTATTGATAGACATCAACGATTGATAGATGACATAACATGCAACTATTTGGATGCAACATGACATAAGAAACTCTCATGCTCTTTGAGGCAAAAGAGTACAATTATTGCTTACGTACATCTTTCACTATTTACCCACAGAATAACCTTTTCACCTCACAATATGCTGTAACACGAGAAGATGAAAATATATGAAAAAAAAAACTTCTTTTTTTTGTGCCGACACTTCAAATCTCTTTGAGACGCAAAAGAAATTTAACTTTGCAAATAGCAAACGAGAAAAACACAGCAGACATTAAAAAGCATTAAATGAGGACTAAAGTATTAAGTCTTTAGACTCCTTGATCTCATCCTCTTTGAGTTTGTGTTTCTCTGGGATTACTTCTCCAGAGTCTTTTCTTTTGTCTTTGTTATATAGCTTACATGTAGCACAAGTAAAGTCTCCCTCCTTACCTGTAAACACAAATGCACGTAATACATGGGGAGTGCCTCCTATGAGATTGAGAGGGTTTTCTTTTGTCTTTTAATTTACACTTGTCTCGGGGGAGTTTAACGATCATTCACTGGTTCAGTGATCCCCAGAAGAGACTAAAAATGCAGACTTTCGATCCCTTTAAGATTGGACTCATAGTTCTTCATGACTGATGATAGCTTGTTATCAGATGAGACGATAGGTGAGCTTCGACCACCATGGATCTTTGGGTTGGAGCTTGATCCAGCTTCAATGTTTTGAGGGTTTGATGGCTCAGAATCAGTTCCCGGAACTGCAGCCTCGCGACTACTGGAGACAGCAGCACGTCTTGATGACCCAGTTGCCCGGAGAAAGCTCGAGCTAGATAACTGTCACAACCAAAACAACTCAGTTACCTTTATTATACTACAATGGATCATGTTTAGGCAAAACATGATACTACAGATATTTAGGGACGAAAATAATTAAACTTCAGATGCAATCCTTGTGTATACAGCTCGAGGAAACCGACTTAAGAACCTTATGTTACTTACATTTATTCAAAACATGAGCTAAAAATGGATATCTCTAACCCGAGGAAATTGTGTACTCACCATTACATCTTTAGATATTGCAGGATCACTTGAAACTGGTGCCTTTTGTTTAGCTGAGCTTCCTGAGTTAAAAATATGTCCAGAACTTCGTCTAGGGTTTCCTAATAACCAACCAGAAGGTCTAGCTTCCTCGCCACCTGCAGATGAACCAAAGAACAAATAAGTCATATCTCTGTAGACCAGTGGATCATAGTCAAATGCCTTATCATACAAGGAAAAATACTAATCAAAACAAAAATAAAAAATGATAGCAACCTGATGGCCTCTCCGCACTGGTAATAGCAGGGGGTAGGCCAGAGCTTGGACCAACTCCAGGGCCCTGCAAGAAAGCAATGTACATCAGCAGATCTGAAGTAGGAATATTTAATATGGAAAAGAAAAGGCCATAACTCTTACATGGGGACGGGGAGGTGGAGTAGAAATCTGTGATTGCTGATACTTCAAGATCGTCCAATCAAATACATAATCAAACTGGAAGCCTAATATATGAGCAGAGCACAGGACAACGCATATATAAATCAACATGTTACTTGATTGGTTCAAGTTATATTTGCTTCATCAGAGAATTAACAAAAGTGATGATGGGACCTTCGCGAATAAACAGGTCGCGGAAAAGACGTTTCAGGTAGGCATAGTCTGGCTTGTCGTCGAATCTCAGGGAACGGCAATAATGGAAGTAAGAAGCAAATTCAGATGGATATCCTCGGCACAGCGACTAAAATAAGAAAAAATATATAAACAGTATTACACCACAAGTATCACCAACACAGGTAATGGGTGATAATTATACCTCAATAGATGTCGATACTTTCTTCTCACTGATTCTCTCATACTTTTGCTTCTTATTCCCAGCTTTCAGTCCTTGCCAAGGAAGACTGCATTTAATTGGGCAAGTAAGCCAAAGACTGCCTTTAAAAACCAATGGACACATGCCAACGTTGAACGTAAGAGCAGTTCGTACCTTCCTTTTAAGAAGTACATGAGAACAAATCCAAGTGACTCCAAATCATCTCTACGACTTTGTTCTGTGATTCAAACGACCATTGCAATTCAGAATAGTGCTTTTTAACTATTAAAAGGTTTAAAACTAAACGAACTGGTATACCAATGCCAAGATGAGTGTTCATGCTGGCGTATCTAGCAGTCCCAGTCAAGTTTTTGTTTTCCCTGTGATACAAAAGATATCAAGATTATAATTGCTAGGCTGATACATCATATACTGCAATCATCGAAATTACAGTGGTTTTTTCATATACTAATGCAGCTTCATAAACACTTGAGAAGTAAACTAAACATTCCGAGTAAGTTCTTATTCAAAATGAAAGAAAACCTACTGAAAACAGAGAAATCATTCATACCCACCGAAACAAGGAAGGAGCCGTAATACTCAAAACCAAAGAAAGTATCAGGCGCATTTTTTAGAATAGGGAAAAAATTAACCGCAAATAGGTAAGGCACATCCAGACAGAAGAACATATTTTAATGACCACACTGCCGTGCCTATTGTAAGCATAGAAGAAGACCCCATTCTTTGACAGTGATGTATAGCACTAGAAGAACCTCACGTTAGAGAACACAGGCTACTAGAAACTTAAAGAAAACTCAAGCACTAGCTAAAACCATTATTCTTATAGTCCAGCGTCTCTAGTCTAATACTGTGAGCACATAAGTAACAGAAGCATAGGGTTATGGCCAACCTATACGGAATATGCTGATTATTGGAGTCTCTATACTTCTTTGCCAGACCAAAGTCGATGACATATACCTGTATTCGGCCAACACTTCGTTTTAGCAGATAAGTAAGGAGAGTAAACAAAGCGTACAAACAACCATTTTCAAAGCTACCTGATTTGCGCGCCTCCCGAGACCCATCAGAAAATTGTCAGGCTTGATGTCCCGGTGTAGAAATGACTTCTGATGAACAAATTCAATGCGATTGATCTGCACGAGGAACCAAAAAGAGATATCCTATTTATTGAGGCAATATCCCTATTCAACATAGGAAAGTGTTTTCAAGCAATACGGGGGTCCTACCATTTGATCAGCAAGCATTAGTACAGTCTTAAGTGAGAGTTTCCTACTACAGAAGTTGAATAGATCTTCCAGGCTAGGACCCAACAAGTCTATTACAAGGACGTTATAGTCCCCTTCAGTACCATACCATTTAACGTTTGGAACGCCAGCTAGAATTAAGGAACGAAAGCAAACTCTCTGGATAAGAAAGCAGAAAGTACAAACTGAAATGTATTCAAGTACAAAACTAGGTACTTACTTCCTCCTTGTAATACTTTATACAGTTTTGATTCATACATCAGCTGTGGATGCTTAGTTTTTACATTTTCCTGAAAGAAAAAAAAAAGGATGCCGTCAAAACATATGCAGCAAAGACAACAACAGTCAAACTAAGATAAATCTGTCACACTTCAGAACAAAGAAAATATGAGAACAAACATGTGGATTGATTGAACATCATTAACAGTCAGAACCAGTACAAAGAAGTAACAGAAAAAACATATTAATAACAGACAACCAACGTTGAATACAATAATATGTTAGCTGTCAGCCCTACAATTCTCCATCTTTAGGCCACACAACAAAACAAACATCCAAAATCTTCAACAGGTTGGGCCCCACCAGTTGCAGGTAATGTTGTCATTCACACTAAGAGCTTATTCAGCATTAATAACAACACTATCTTCCCAAGAATCAATAATAACTCTCAGTCCTAATTAAAAAAAAAAAGGCAGGTTGAATCCAGATTTAAAACTACAATAGAAAGCCAAAAACATTGATTTAAGTGTATTGAGTAGTGAATGGAAGTGTTCAAACAGAAGGAAAAGGAAGGAGATCAAAATGAAAGTAGTCACTTATAGCTATATTGTGGCCTAATAAATAGTAGCTTCTACTCTCTTTTTTTTTTGTCGACATTTTCATTCATTGCAAAGATTAATAGCTTCTACTCTATTCCTCATATGTTTCTAATCGAATCTAAACAACCTCTTAACCAGGTAAGAGAAAAAAGAAAAAAGAAGAAGAAGCTACAAGCCAATGAAGACGAAGCAATAACATAAGACCTTGTACACACACCAAAAATCACAGCTTTTCATTCCCACTAACCAAGAAAATCCATCCTTTATTTAATTAACAAGTAACAAACGTAATAACAGATCCAACATTCCCAAAAACTAGCTTCTCTCTACTTCACTAGACACTCAATCTGGTATCAAAATTAGTAAAACGAAAAACTTACAAGCTTAATGGCAACTTCTTCATTCGTCTGTATATTCGTACCTACAAACAAACGCAATATCCAATTCAATTTAAACAGTAATCTACACTCAAACGAGAATCAAAGGCAAGTAAGACGCATACCAAGATAGATCTCTCCGAATGATCCACTCCCGATCTTCCTCCCTAGCCGAAACTTGTTTCCCACTCGCGGCTCCATCAAATCCAAAAAAAGCTTAATTAAATCCCGAATCCCCGATTACTAAAAAGCTTTCACCTTTTTATCCACTGATGAATCGAGGAACCCGAGACTGAAGCAGGATAGTTGAGATAGGTTTAAAAAGCGGAAGAAAGAGAAGAATTTCGAAAGGGATTGAAGTTAGGAGTAGAGGTTGATTCCGATTGACTTCCGGCGAATTAGCGTCGACATTTCTCTCCACGCGGCGAAAATAATAATAAATATCCCAAAAGGGAAGGGGATAGACTCTGAGAGATGGTTAAGCACATAAAAAGCAAATTAGACGCTACTATTAATTGTGGAGTTGTTGGATTACTTTCTATGGGCCGGACTGGCCCATATTGTGTATATTTATGGGCCCATTTATTAATCTAATGTAAATATGGTAACGTGAATTGTTTTATCCGCCAAATACACTCTCACTTCTCTAACACCCTTACCGATTATAAGCAAGATCGATGTTACAAATTTATTATTTTTAGTTTGATCGAACTTGTGAAAATACATGAAGCCGAAGTTTTATTAAACTAAACTTGAAATTCATTCAATCCTAGTGGATCTTAATGATAAATTACAAATTTATCGGAACCTGAAATATTGCTAACCGAACTCAAGTTGAACGTGAAAACCTGCAATCCCGAAAAACCTAACAAAAACAGGAACTACAAAGAGTATAAGTGACATCATTATACATTATGTATATATAAAAATCATAATATGCACAACTAAATGATTAGAGACAGGAACAGAAAAGGAACACAAAGGAAGATGCTTTGTTATGTTTTTTTTTGCATTCTGTCTTAACTCCTAACTATAAACAAACCTTAAGTATGTAGTAT